TTTCATTCTTGAGTGCACCCATTGTGGGAGCCATTGTGGAGCTTCATTCATATTCATTCATTCATTCATTTGAGACAGGTCTCACTTTGTTGCCTCAGTTAGTGACAATGGCATCATCAGAGCTCACTGCAGCCACAAACTCCTAGGCTCAAGTGGTCTGCTTGGCTCAGCCTCCCAAGTAGCTGGGACTGTAGGTGAGTGCCATCACACCCTGCTAATTTTTATTTTTTTATTTATTTTTATTTTTTTTTTATTTTACACTCAGATACACTCTCAGAATAATTTTTAAATTTTTTTGGTAGAGATGTGATTTCGCTATGTCGATATCTCGAACTCTTGCCCTCAAGCTCTCTTCCCTCTTCAGCCTTACAAAGTAATAGAATTACAGATGTGAGCCACCATACCCAACCAGAGTAGACACTGAGCTAGGATAGATAGTTTTTTATAGCATTGTTTAGGATTAATGTAATAAATTCTATTGTAAGAAGACAGGTGGTTTATATATACATAAGTTTATTGAGAGATTTGGATATGGATAAGAGCTGAACTCTTGGGAGGTGGAGGTAAATATAAATTCTGTTGAAAAGGTTATAGAAATTGAGATTACCAATGGTTAGAATTTTGGAAGTAAAGTGCAATGAAATATTGAATATGTGAGAGGTTACTTTCTAGTGAAAAGACAATAGCAAGAGCTGTAAGTATATCCAGTTTGGCTCCAAAGGGAGAGCCATTTTTACTATAATGTTTATAATGGCTCTAAAATCTCCAATTTGAGATATCTAGTTATTAAAGGAGAGTAAATTACAATTGAAGCATATTAGTTATTTTCAAGTGCTTTTAGCAAGCTGTGTTTAAAAAATGTTTATTATAGAAAATACACCCAAAATAACCAGTGATGTTACTGTCTTGCTCTTTTTCTTAGACCTATTTTTATGCATAACTTAAGATCATGCAATATGAATAGTTTTTTAAATCTTTGTTTATTTAATGTTATAGCATAAGTATTTTCCCATGTTCTTAAAAATCTATTATAAATGGCATTTTAAATGATTACAGGTTTTTTTCACTTGTTTTTGGAAGTGCTATAACTTATCCACCTATTTCCCAGTTCTGGTTTTAATTCCCCAGTTCTGTTGGTTACTTTTTCCTCCTCCTCTTTCCCTCTTCATCCTTCCTTCTTCTCCCCTTCCTCACTTCCTCCTACCACCATTCACTCACCTTACTCCTCCCTTCCTCCTCCCCCTTCCTCACGTTCCCCACTTTACCCCCTCCCCTTCTCTCTTCCTTCGCTTCCTCCCTCCTACTTCTCTCCTCTCCTCCCTTCTCCCCTCCTCTTCTCCCTCCTTCCTCCTCCCTCTTCCTCTCAACTTCCTTCTCCTCCTCCTTTCTCTTTTTTTCTTTTTCATTCTTTCTTCTGACACAGTCTCGCTTTGGTTGCCCAGGCTAAGGATGCGTGTTCAGCTACTCACAGCCAACCTCAATATCCGGGCCAAGCCAATCCTCGTCTGCTCACCTCCGACGTAGCGGGACTACAGGCATGCCTACCATGCCCGCTAATTTTTCTATAATATTAGTTGGCCAAATTAAATTTCTATTTAAGTCAGAGCTGGGTCTCATTTCTAGGCTGGTTTCGACCCTGACCCTGACAATACCCGCCTGGGCTCCATATGCTAGATTACAGGGTGAGCCACTGGGCCCCACTCATCTCTCCTCTATCTCTCCCTCTCTCCTTTTCCTTCTTCTTTTTTTTTTTCAAGACAGAATCCACTCTGTCTCAGGGGGGGGGTGGCTGGCTAACCTGGCTAATTTATATTATAATATATACTTACTATAATGATATAATATGTTTTTTAGTTGTCCACTAATTTCTTTCTATTTTTTTAGTAGAGACAGTCTCGCTGTTGCTCAGGCTGGTCTTGAACTCCCGACTGGAGCAATCTCCATCTTCGTCCCCAGAGTGCTTACAAGTTTTCTTAAAAATAATGCAGGGCTGAATAATGGACGTCTTTGTGCTTAAAGGCTTTTTCTTTATTTTGAGCTGTTTCCTTACTTTAGCTTAGTTCAGTGGTTTTCAGACTTAAGTGTGCATCAGAATTATGTGGAAGGCTTGCTAAACACTGGCTGCTGGACCCCACAGGGAGGATTTCAGATTGACTAGGTCTGAGGGGAGGCTGAAAAATTTGTGTTTTTAACAAGTTTCTTCTAGGTGATGCTAATGCTGCTGGTATGGGGACTGTACTTTGAGAAATACTAGTTTGTGTTATTGACAATGAAACTACAATATTGAGGTTAAGTTTCTAAGTCAGTGGGAGTGATTATGATCTTGAATGAAACTGAGTTCATGTACCAACCTGTACAGGGAAGTTGAAGAGCTGTAGGATCGTATTGGCATCTCAGCATTGAGAATTCATGTAGTTTGTGAACATGTAAGTGCTGATAAGTGCAAGGTTCAGTGCTGAGTGTTATGATGTAAGGATACTGTGATGAATAAAACATAGCTCCCTTTTCACCCTTTCATAATCTACTTATAAGATAAATGTCATAACCAAAAAATGCCACAAGAAAAGTATAAACAAAGGGCTTGAGAATTCAGAGGAAGGAGAGGTCATCTTTGGTTGACATGTCAAAATGTAGGAGACCAAGAAAATAGAAGGTCTCAGAAAAGCTAGACTATTTAAAAGAGTTTCCAAGGTATGACATCAATAAAACTTGGGTATTTCAGCCAGGAAGGCCCAAGTTCAAAACCCAGTTCTGTGCTTTGTAATATTAGACAAATTATTCTCTCTGAAATCTGTTTTTTGATCTGTAAAATAAGAATAATACCCCAGGGATGTTTGTGGAGATAATGTATAATAAAACACCCAGCATAGTACCTTGTAGGGAGCACTCAAAAATTGTTGAATAAATGGTAAACTTCTTGAAGGTTTTCCGTTGGTGTCATTAGGCATTATAATTAGTAAAGCCAAATCACCAGCAGCCATTCATTGCCATAGAAATGATTGATGCCTTCTGAAACAACTTTCCTCTGAATTAAATTTAAAGGGAAAATTTTTTAAGAAAATAAGTGATATCTAGGAAGTGTGAAATGTGCTACCACTTTATTTAATCTTATCTTGAGTTAGAACCTTGAATGAACTTTGCTTAGCTTTACTTTCATCAGATAGCAGCTTGCCTACCCCTTGCTTTCTTCATGTTTGCTTAAATATTACATAACAGTGAGGTGCTTTCCTTCTTTGACCAATCTATATAAACTAGTCTTTCATATTTGCTATCTCTTTTATTTTGCTTTAATATCCACAGCACTGACATATATTTTCTTGTACATTGTCTGTCTCTCCCACACTAAAATGTGTGCTCCATTAGGCATACACCTTTGTTCTGTTAATGCTGTACTTCAGCACTTAAACCAGTGCCTGAGTTAGTAGCAAATGAATGAATTGATGAATGAGCCAATTGAAGATATTTAGAGGAAAGTGAAAGAAAAGTATTGGGTTAATTAAGCCATCCTCCCACCCTCCCTCCCTTTCAGTTGGGGCTTTCATTTGGGAAACTTCTGATATCAGAATTTTAGGACTTTCATTTGAGATTGTCAGATTTCCAAATTTCTCTGGAATGCTGGCCTAATTACCAGCATTCTGAGAGCTGTTAGAGTAAGAGGGGTAGGATATTGGGTTGAGGACAGTAAGGGGGATTTGAAAAGGGGGGTATCTCTTGTCAGTGGTATATTTAAATTTACTTAATTTGTCTTTTTGTTTTATATTTATTGATATGTATTAGTTGTACATATTTTTGGGGTACATGTCATATTTGATACCTGTATAATGTGTAACCATCAAAGGGTAACTGGGATAGCCATCACCTCAAACATTTCTCTTTGTTTTGGAAACTTTAAAAATCTTCTATTCTTGCTGTTTTGGAATATACAATAAATATTGGGTTTTTTGTTTTTTTTTTTTTGAGACAGTTTCGTTCTGTCACCTCTGCTAGAGTGCAGTGTTGTCATCATAGCTCACTGCAGCCTCCAACTCCTGAGCTCAAGTGATCATGCCTCAGTCTCCTGAGTAGCTGGGACTACAGGTGTTCACCACCATGGGCAACTAATTTTTTCTATTTTTAGTAGAGATGAGATCTCACTCTTTCTCATGCTGGTCTCAAACTCCTGACCTCAAACTCCCACCTTGGCCTCCGAAGAGTGCTAGGATTACAGATGTGAGCCACTGTACCCAGCCAATTATTGTTAACTATAATTTCCCCACTGTACTATTAAATGATAGAACGATTATTCCTTTTATCTAACTATTTTTGTGCCCCTTAACCAATTTCTATTCATCTCCCCTTCTTTTCTTCGCAGCCTCTGGTAACTACCATTCTGCTCTCTACCTCCATGAGATCCATTTTTTTAGCTCCCACATATGAATTGAGATTCTTTCTTTTAAAACAGGTTGAGTATATTTAAGATCAGTAGCAATAAACTTGTATTTTAAGCTCCTGCCACTATATTTTGAGGACATTCTAAGCCCATTGGAATGATTCTGAATACCATAGCTTCTGCAGTGATACTTATTGAGAGAAAAGGAAAAAGCATCAGGTCAGAGAAAACCAGTGGCACCACCATAGTTCACTGTAGCCTCCAACTTCTGGATTCAAGCTATTCTTCCCTTTCAGCCTCCCAAGGTGTGAGCCATAGACAGTTTTTAGAGACTCATGTCACACAAATTTTCTTCTAAAAATCCTCTTCTTTTCTTCCATTAATTTACAATCATAGATGGAAAAGAAAATTTAAAAAAAAGAACAGAAATTAAATTAAAAAAAAAGAAAAAAAATCCTCCTGATTTTGGAGGAGGCAGCCTTCTCTTGATGAAAAGGGATTTTTGGTTTGTTGTGGGCACTTCCTAATGTGTTAAGTCAGGAAGGGTTTATTGTCTGGCACTCTCAGTTTTAGTGATATTGCAATTGATTATTAGGTTTAGGTACTAATAACTTTTTTACCTTTATTTCAGAGAAGCTTGATTCTTTGCTCTCAGACTATGATATCCTCTCCTTATCTAATATCCAGCAGCACTCGGTAAGAAAAAGGGATCTACAGGCCTCAACACATTTAGAAACACTACTAACTTTTTCAGCTTTGAAAAGGTAATTTGAATTATTCATAGAATAATGTTGGGGGAGTGGAGGATGGGGTTTGGCAAAAGCAAAAAAATAAGAATATCTGCTGAAATCTTAGGAAATTATATTCTAAAGATTTGTAACTGATATAATTAGTCTGTCATATATGATTCTTATGTAGTATAATGCCTATTCTAAAATCCATACTGATGGGTATTTTTAAAAAGCGAAATGGGTGTTCCAGAGGTATTAACAATGGTAATGTTTATGAAATTCTAACAGATAATTAAAATTAATTGAATGCTTATAATACTTTACATTTTTGGTGCTACTTTAGAACTGTCTATTAATACCATACACTAAATATTATCTTTATTTTACATGTGAAGAGATAAAGATTTTGTTTAGGACCCCACAGCTTGGTGGTGAGCTGGGTCTAGAATTTAGTGTTCTGCGTGGAGTTCCACTTACTTTATAGCATAAACTGTGTTATATTTGGGCAGTAATTTTAATATTGCTTGTGGTATTTTACAGATTGAAATCTGTTCCATAATTGCAGGCCTCTTTCTAAATTCTTTTTAGGAAACTTTGTCCAATATAAAAAAAAAAAAAAAAAAACCAAAACACTCAACACTATGAGAATATAAATGGGCTAAATTATTCTTTATTCATAGGATAGACCTTCTCTACCACATTTTAAAAGAATATGTGCACCTAGTTTAAAAGACAAACTACAGAGAATATAAAGTTTTTACTTCTTTCTAACTCAGTTCCACTTTTCAGACCCAGAAAGGTTTCAAAACTTTCAAAAATTTTTTTTTTTTTTTTTTTTTGAGACAGAGTCTCAGCTTTGTTGCCTAGGCTAGAGTGAGTGCTATGGCGTCAGCCTGGCTCACAGCAACCTCAATCTCCTGGCTCAAGCAATCCTTCTGCCTCAGCCTCCCAAGTAGCTGGGACTACAGGCATGCGCCACCATGCCTGGCTAATTTTTATATATATATATATTAGTTGGCCAATTAATTTCTTTCTGTTTATAGTAGAGACGGGGTCTCGCTCTTGTTCAGGCTGGTTTCGAACTCCTGACCTCGAGCAATCCGCCCGCCTCAGCCTCCCAGAGAGCTAGGATTATAGGCGTGAGCCACCACGCCCGGCCCAAAAATTTTGATGTATATCTTTTGCATTTAGATCTATGCATATATCTTAGTGATATAGATAACATAGCTTTCCCTCATTTAAAACAGCTGCGTAAATATTTCTATTGCATAGAATTGTAATAACTTACTAGTACTCTACAGATGGATATTGGTTGATCAAAGTGATTTTTTTTCCTATAACAAACAATGTTCCAGTGAATATTTTAGTAAATATATACCTTATCTAGGTGTTTTTATAGGATACATTTCTAGAAGGAGAATTATTGGGTCAAGGCTATGTTTACTATTAATGTTTATTGATATTGCTGTTTCCTCCTAAAGATATTAGACCAGTTTATTCTTCAAGCAGCAGTATATGAATTTACCTGTTTCTTGTTACCATTGCCAATAATAGGTTTTATTAGCCTTTAACTTTCACTCACTCTAGCCTGGGCAACAAAGCAAGACTCTGTCTCAAAAAAAAAAAAATGGTTAGGAAAATATTAATTCAGACTGCTGGTTAACCCTAATCTGTAGTTACTGTAAAGTCAGAAAGATACATGAAGATGTTCAAGAATGCTGTAAGTAAATGACTTCACATAATTTTGGGAGGATGAAATAAAAGAAATTTTGACTGTCATATCCTGTTGGAGGTTTTATAGCTCAAAGACTAAGAATGGGAAATCAAAAAACATGAATTTTCCCATCACTGTTTTTATCTTTACTAAAAGAGCAGATTCTTAATGTAGAAAATGAAAAATACAATTCCGGTCATTTTTCTGGAAAGACCATTAAGTAAAAGTAATACTGCAACTCATAGCTTTAAAACTAAATAATAAGGCATTTATAATAGGGATGCTTTTCAAAGTACTCAGAAAAACTGAAGAAAAATCATAACTGAGAATGTGTGGGAAGATACATTTTAGGATAGCAGGAGAAAATGTTCCAAGGTTTCATGAAACAACATTCTATTGTGTCTCTTTCCTTCTGATTATTAAAAAACCACAAGCAAACTAAAATTACCTTGTTGTGTTCAAAAAGTTAAAAATATTTGTTGCCATGGAGACAGTCCCAGTCTAGATTTCTTCCTGGCAGTTTAAAGACTTATGCAAACCCATGGGGAAGTAACACTTCATATTTTCAGCACCACAGCTGACAAAATTTGTTCCTGTGAGATGAATAACATACCTTTCTTTGTCTTTGGTGTTCATGAACACATTGAAAGGGTTCTGTAAATAATAATTTAAAAAGTCTTGCTCATTCCCAGTTTTTATTTCAGGACTGAAACTTGTAGAAAATAAAAAGAATATTGAGCCAACTAAAGAACTGGAGTATAGATTTTAATGTGTATCTTGGATACCTTGTATTTATATTCCTAATCGTAATTATGGATTTATTTTTTTCAAGATATGTTCTTCTAAGGAGGAAAAAAAGCATGAGGGCTTTTAAAAGTAGAAAGCATTTATTAATTTTGCAAAGCAATAAGAATATTCTTATATTCTACCCAGCTTGATTGCTAGAGGCAGCATTGTACAGGGTTTTGAAATAAATCAACTTCATCTTCTAGTTTTTTTTTTTTTACTATTTACTAGTTGTATAACCTTGAGTAGGTTGATTAATCTCCAATCCTCAGTTTTCACTGTGTGAAGCGGAGATAATATATACAGAGTACCTAATACCAATTGTAAATGTTCAGTAAATGGTATGTAATATTAGTCTTTAATAATAAATGTTTGAGATAAGCATGACTCTGACTTAAAACTACCCAGATGTAGGCTGGGCGCGGTGGCTCACGCCTGTAATTCTAGTAGTCTGGGAGGCCAAGGTGGGCAGATTGCTCGAGGTCAGGAGTTCAAAACCAGCCTGAGCAAGAGCGAGACCCCGTCTCTACTATAAATAGAAAGAATTAATTGGCCAACTAATTATATATAGAAAAATTAGCCAGGCATGGTGGTGCATGCCTGTAGTCCCAGCTACTCGGGAGGCTGAGGCAGGAGGATCACTTGAGCCCAGGAGTTTGAGGTTGCTGTGAGCTAGGCTGATGCCATGGCACTCACTCTAGCCTGGGCAATAAAGTGAGACTCTGTCTCAAAAAAAAACCTAGCCGGGCGCGGGTGCTGTAATCCTAGCACTCTGGGAGGCCGAGGCGGGCGGATTGCTCAAGGTCAGGAGTTCAAAACCAGCCTGAGCAAGACCCCATCTCTACTATAAAAATAGAAAGAAATTAATTGGCCAACTAATATATATAATATAAAATCAGCCGGGCATGGTGCTCTGCCTGTAGTCCCAGCTACTCGGGAGGCTGAGGCAGGAGACTCGCTTGAGCCAGGAGTTTGAGGTTGCTGTGAGCTGCTGACACCACCGGCACTCACTCTAGCTGGACAAGAAGCGGACTCTGTCTCAAAAAAAAAAAAAAAACCAAAAAACTACCCAGATCAATTTGTTTCCTTATTCAGAGTTTTCCAGAAAAGATGAATACATAAACTCTTTAAATTTTTTCCTCCAATAATAGTTTATTTTGATCTACCAAGTTTTTACAACTAAACAAATTAGTCTATTTGTCTTTATAGGAGATATATTACTCTAAGTAAAACCATAGTTATAAGCCGGGCGCGGTGGCTCACGCCTGTAATCCTAGCACTCTGGGAGGCTGAGGCGGGCGGATTGCTCGAGGTCAGGAGTTCAAAACCAGCCTGAGCAAGAGCGAGACCCGTCTCTACTATAAATAGAAAGAAATTAATTGGCCAACTAATATATATATAAAATTAGCCGGGCATGGTGCATGCTGTAGTCCCAGCTCTCGGGAGGCTGAGGCAGCAGGATTGCTTGAGCCAGGAGTTTGAGGTTGCTGTGAGCTAGGCTGATGCCACGGCACTCAGTCTAGCCTGGGCAACAAGCGAGACTCTGTCTCAAAAAAAAAAAAAAAAAAACCATAGTTATAACTTGCATGCTGTTTTATTAATGTCACCTTTTTGATTTTAAAAGAAAGTTTAAATGGAAATGAGGCTTTTATGTGTTTATAGTAAATATGAATGCATTCTTTCTTCAGGCATTTTAAATTATACCTGACATCAAGTACTGAACGCTTCTCACAAAATTTCAAAGTTGTGGTGGTGGATGGTAAAGATGAAAGCCAGTACACCGTAAAATGGCAGGACTTCTTCAGTGGACATGTGGTTGGTTAGTAAGGAGCTTGTTTATTTGCTCTTGGGTCTATGGTGTTAGGTCTCCAAATTTAACTTGATTGCTTGTTCTTTTTTGGGTGGGGTTGGGGGAAGGGGTGTCAGAAGTGCCTTGCCTGTTTAGAAGTAGAAACATGCTAATAGGAAGAAGTGGGTATTATTTAACATGTCATACTGCCTGGCTGTTTTGATGATTAAAATTAATTTCCTCTCAAGTGATAATTTAACCTTCTCTTGTCTTCAGCAGGGATTGTAGACTTCCTTTATGAGATTTTAAACAGGGAAGCTAGGAGATAAAATAATTTACTTTATGATCCTTTTATGCATTTATCTGAGAAAATATATCAAGCAAGAAATTGCAGTTTACTTTTTGACCTTTTTCTGCAATAAGATAAAAGAGGTGGCATTGAATTCCTCAAAATAGTACAGTTGAAAGCCTGTAAATTCCAAGTCATGCTTTCTGCCTTCTTTTAGTTCTTCCTTACCCAGAAGTAAAGTTCTTCCAGAAGAAAATCTACAGTTGTGTTTGTTTTAGGAAAGGGATAGGTTTCCAATGAGTAGACTTGAGGCTACTTCTTAGGAAAGGTAAGAATTATCTAGTGTCTTTCTGGGGCCTTTGTTTCTTGGTTGCAGAGCTGTCAAAGTCCCTAGGCAGATTCCACTCTGATGAAAGTTTTGGTTGATTTTTATTGACAATGTATAGTTTATTACTTTATTAGAATATTTTTTAATACTAAAAAAGTTTTTTTTTTCTGTTAAGGTGAACCTGACTCTAGGGTTCTAGCCCATATAGGAGATGATGATGTTACAATAAGAATCAACACAGATGGGGCAGAATATAACATAGAGGTAAATCTACATGTGAATTTTTCTCAGTAGTGTATCTCTCCAATATTTAAAAAGTTTCTCAGTTGTTTTAAGATGGTAAAGGTAAAAAATAATTATTTCTTTACTCTTTGTATTTAAAGCTTTTTTTTTAACCTGGAAAGTAGATTTTTGAAAAAAGGATAAGCTGTCTTAAGGTGTATCCTGTATTTCTAAGTACCATAATTGAGAGAGTCATGTATGGATTGGATAATAGGAAGAGAAAACTTTCTTTTCCTCTTGACTCATTTTAAAATTTTTTAAAGGTAATCTATTAGTGTAAACATTCTCAAAGATGAAGGTGAAGTCTTATGTCTCTATTTGTCATTTTCTCTGCTAGACACCCTGGAAATGCTAGATCAATAAAAGGTTAATATTTGATAGTCTGAGAAATTAAGGGGAAAACATAGGAACTCAAGCTCTAGTCACTCTTCCATTGAAGTACTGTCAGTATAAATCGAGACTGAAGTAGGCACATGTATGTAAGATACATATCCATCTGTGAGATACTAGTCTAAAAAACAAACATCTGCCACATATTTGTAAATTAAGTTGATTCTGTGTTTCTTGGGAAATGAGAATATTCTGATGATATCATCAAAACAGAGCACCTCTTGGAAAACTGTGATTGAGGTTAGTCAAATGAAATTTTCAGGTGTATTTGAGTGCTGATCAGGAAAGGTGAGAATTATGTAGCTTCTTTCTTTTCACATCTCTAAGAAGCTATCTATACTTGTAAGACAGGGTGCTATAAATGTTACACAGTTTAATAACATCCAGACACATGACCACTAGTCTTTTGTCTATCATTGTGAGAAAGAAATCTGAAGACTCAGAGTCCTCCTTTTTTCAAATATTTTCTTTTAGAGAATTAGGCATTCTGTTTCATCCATACCTTCATTTCACTAAGTACAAAAATGAGTATAATTAATACGTCACTGTTAGCTGGTTACTTAAAAGTAAACTCATCAGGTTCCTTGAGGGACTTTTGCAAGAGATTAATAATCATTTTTTTTATTAGGGTCTCGTTCTTTTGCTCAGGTTAGGGTGCAGTGGCACAATCGTAGCTCACTGCTACCTTGAACTCCTGGGCTCTAGTGATCCTCCCATGTAGCTGGGACTACAGGCACATGCCGCCACACTTGTCTAATTAAAAAAATTTTGGCCGGGCGTGGTGGCTCACTGTAATCCCAGCACTCTGGGAGGCCGAGGCGGGCAGATTGCTCAAGGTCAGGAGTTCAAAACCAACCTGAGCAAGAGCGAGACCCTGTCTCTACTATAAAAAAATAGAAAGAAATTAATTGACCAACAAAAATATATATAAAAAATTAGCCGGGCATGGTGGCACATGCCTGTAGTCCCAGCTACTCGAGAGGTTGAGGCAGCAGGATCGCTTGAGCCCAGCAGTTTGAGGTTGCTGTGAGCTAGGCTGACGCCACGGCACTCACTCTAGCCTGGGCAACAAAGCGAGACTCTGTCTCAAAAAAAAAAAAAGGGTGTTAATTAAAAAAAATTTTTTTAGAGATGGGGGTCTTACTATGTTTCCCAGGCTGGTCCTGAACTCCTGACCTCAAGTGATCTTCCCACCTCAGCCTCCTGAGTAGTAGCAGTAATTTTTAGTTGAAAAAGTGGTTTATTACTTACAATGGTGATTTTCATATTGTTTATTTTTTAATTCTTATTTGCATATACCTTGATGTAAAAATCATTATTCATCTGCATTAAAATCTTAGACATAAGTGGGCAGGAAAATGTGTGTATCTTATTTTTAACATATCATCATAAACTATTTTGAATCATCCCTATTTTACCTTACTGTTTATGTCTATAAGACTACATTAAACTTGAATCATGAGATAATTTTTTATTCCCAACTTTTTATTTTGAAAATGTTCAAATCTACAGAAAACTTAAAAAATACCCTGTAACCCTTAATCAGCTGCTAATGTAATATATGTCACATTTGTTTTTCTCTCTCTCACTTTTGTCCTGAATCATTTGAAAATCAGTTGCATACATGAAGACACTTCATACCTAAGTACTTTAATGTGTATTTCCTAAGAATAAAGACATTCTTTTACATAGCCATAATAAAAGTAACATACCTGAAGAAAAGTAAATAATTCTACAATATTATCTAATAGTCAGCCTGTAGTCAGAATCTCCAGTCATCCTCAAAATCTCCTTTGTAGGTTTTTTTGTTTGTTTTCTAATCCAGGAAAGGTTCCTGTCTTTTATTTAGTTATTCATCAGATGATGTTTTTTCCAGCAGCTTATTAGTAATGGTGGTAATAGGATTAGCTGTTATTATTAACAGTTACCTTTCTTTTGAAATCTTAATATATAACTATATTATTATCTTACATAATCTTCAAGTTAGGTATTATCACTCCCTTACCTAATGAGAGAAGTCATGCTCAAGTTAAGTTACTTGTCCAAGGCACATAGTGAGGTTAGGTTGAGGTTTAAACTCAGGTTTCTCTGATCCCAAAGCCTGCTGTCTTTTTCTGTGCTAGCCTGGCCATACTAGGAAACAATCAGTGTGAATTTAGAAATGTTTGACCCCAGAGAAAAAAGTTTTCTCTTTTATTCATAGGCCAAATGAGTTTTACTAAATGTGGAAGATTCCTACAGCCCAGGAGTTGAGTTAGTTAACTTTTGAGGTCTCTGCTAGTCCTGAGATTCTATAACCATTATTTCTTAAATCTACCTCATATATAAATTACAAAAGAAGGGGTGGGGGTGTGTGTGTGTGTGTGTGTGTATTTAACAGCTTTATGGAGATATAATTCATACACTGTACTCTCTACCTATTTAATGTATACAGTTTTGTAGTTTTTATAATAGTATATTCATAGAGTTATGCAAAGACCACCACAATTTTAGAGCATTTTTATGATCCAAAAAAGAAACCCTGTACTCTTTAGCCATTCTTCTACCTTTCCCCCATAACTCCCACAACCACTAACATTGCTGTCCCTTTATATTTGCCTGTTTTGGTCATTTCATATAAATAGAATCATATAATATGTGGTCTTTTGTGTGTTGCTGCTTTTACTTACATTAATGTTTTCAAGGTTTATCTATGTTGTATCATGTATCAGTACTTCATTTATTTTTATTGCTGAATGATATTACATTGTATGGATAGACCACATTTTGTTTATTCATTCTCAGTTGATGGACATTTGTCATCTGTTTCTACTTTTTGGCTATTACTAACAATGCTTCTGTGAACATTTGTGAATAAGTTTTCATATGGGCATGTGTTTTCATTTCTCTTGGGTATATAGTAGGAACAGAATTGCTGGGTCAAATGGTTTCTCTATTTTTTTTTTTTTTTTGAGACAGAGTCTCGCTTTGTTGCCCAGGCTAGAGTGAGTGCCATGGCGTCAGCCTAGCTCACAGCAACCTCAAACTCCTGGGCTCAAGGGATCCTCCTGCCTCAGCCTCCCGAGTAGCTGGGACTACAGGCATGCGCCACCATGCCCGGCTAATTTTTTTCTGTATATATTAGTTGGCCAATTAATTTCTTTCTATTTATGGTAGAGACGGGGTCTCGCTCTTGCTCAGGCTGGTTTTGAACTCCTGACCTCGAGCAATCCACCCGCCTCGGCCTCCCAGAGTGCTAAGATTACAGGCGTGAGCCACCGCGCCCGGCGGTTTCTCTATTTTTAACCTTTGAAGACCTGCCCGACTGTTTTCTAAAGTGACTGCACCACTTTCCATTCTCAACATCTTTGAGGGTTCTGGATTTCTCCATATCCTCACCAGTTAAGAGAGGGTCTTTGATTATAACTGTCCTAGAGAGTTATGAAGTAGTGTCTCATTGTGGTTTTGATTTGCATTTCCCTGATAGAGAAATATAAATATCTTTTTTTGTACATTCCCCACAAGCTGCCTGGTTCTGATGAGACCAGTGTTCTTACAGAGAACAACTTTGTTTTGAAAAAACGGAAGCATCCTTTTGACTTGGGGTAACCAATGGAGTATGTTAGTTATGATTTACACTGTCCTTGTAACAATATAAATGCAGGTTTTTAAAAAACTTCTCTGAAACCAATAAGTTTCAGGTATATTGTTACAAGTTTTGAGTTTTCTTTCATAAAAATGTTTGTGCATAAAACCTAGCATGGCAAAAAGTTGTCAAACACCTGAATGTTAAGAAAACCATGATGAAAATGCCATGTAATTAGAAACCTTTTCTAACTGTCTTTGCTATATTACCATCACCTATAACAGTGCTAGTTTACAGTAGGCATTAGATGTTTTTGTATGAATGAATGGAAAAGGATATACATTTTTCTCTTCTGGGTCCTCTTAAAGATATCATAACTTATGCAAAGTATGTATTGTTTTTTTCATATGCAGATAAAATCATCAGAGTGAATAGTTTATGTATTTATTTACCAGCATAGAAACTCCATATGATATAAATGATTTATTTTGAGTAAAATGCTAGTCAATTTACTTAGAAATGAATGTTATCTAAGAAGTAGTGAAGAATGAAGAATTTAGTATTTAGGAATTCTTACTTTTGCATCCTAGTCATATGTATTTTCTATTTTAGCCACTTTGGAGATTTGTTAATGATACCAAAGACAAAAGAATGTTAGTTTATAAGTCTGAAGATATCAAGAATGTTTCACGTTTGGAGTCTCCAAAAGTGTGTGGTTATTTAACAGTGGATAATGAAGAGTTGGTTCCAAAAGGGCTATTAGACAGAGAGCCCCCTGAAGGTAAGACTTAAAACATATTTCAAATAAGAAACAAGCATTTTCCACATGTCTTCAGTAGGGCTGGCTGTTAATTGATAAAAAGTAACATGATTATCAAGTAACTTTAGTATTTGGCTTGAAAATAGAGTTTTGTTCCAGATATTGTAATTCTTTTGTCGGTAGTGTAAAAAACACTAGCAATTAATGGGAAAATTAAAGATTGGACTTAAAAAAAGATTGGGTGAAAGGAAAGTTGAATGATCTGAGGGAAAATATCCTTGCAGGTATTTAGAAGTGACAAAATAATACTGCTGAAAGACAGTTTTTCGAGTTTATAAGAAATTAGTTGGTAGCAAGAAAGATCTATAAAGTATAAGAAGGTTATCAGTCTTGGGAGAGTTCTATTTAAGGTCATGTATTTATTAAACAGAACTAGAGCCTACAATATTTATAGTCATTTACAAAACATATTACCATCTTGGAGATGTTTTCATTTTTAAAGACCTTAGAAAATATTAGTAGCATTTTAATAATAAAGAATCTTAAACAGTTTGATTAGAGAGATGTCCTATTAATACAAACTAATTTTTAATGTGTGATCTTGACATTTGTACTGTTACTTTGGTTAATTGATAAACTTTTTCTAGAAGAAAATGATTGATGGCTTCCTAGCGCAGATAAATATAGGTGATTATATTAATCTATTAAGCACTCGTTAAAGTTTCCATATTTTAAAAATTAAGGAGGCACTTTTCCTTCATTTTGAATTCTACGATTTTTATTTTTTTGAGACAGTTGCCTGGAATAGAGTACAGTGGGGTGTCAGCTTAGCACACTGCAACCTCATACTCCTGGGCTCAAGCGATTCTTGTGTCTCAGCTTCCTGAGTAGCTGGGACTACAGGCAGGTACCACCATACCCAGCCAATTTTTCTATTTTTTGTAGAGATCGGGTTTAAATTTTGCTCAGGCTGGTCTTGAACTCTGGCCTCAAGCAATCCTCCTTCCTCAGCCTCTCAGAGTGCTAGGATCACAGGTGTGAGCCACCGCACCCAGCTGAACTCTGCAATTTTAAAACCACATATTACTTTTTACTTTTCTGTCTTCCTCTAAATTGTTTTTTTGTTAAGGATACTAAGCTCAAATAATGTTTGTTTCAAAAATACACTAGATTTAAAGCGTTACTATAAAAAACTCCTTGTTTTGATGAATTTTGATTTAATAGTGCATACAAATTCATATTAGAGCTTGTTCATCGGGTGAAGAGAAGAGCTGATCCAAATCCAATGAAGAACACATGTAAATTATTGGTGGTAGCAGATCATCGCTTTTATAAATACATGGGCAGAGGGGAAGAGAGTACAACTACAAATTACTTAGTAAGTATTTGATATTCCATAAAGTGAATGGACAAAAAATTCATGTGGGTGGGTAAATTCCATTTAAGAGGAGGCTGTGGTAATTTGAAACTTAATGAAAGCAGATCTGTTCCAGATGCTGTTATTTTACTAGAATATTGAAGGCTATTCTCTGAGATTTTCATATTATTATATGGAAATTGTATCTTCAAATTTATGAAAACCCATATTACCTTTGAACTGATACTTTCTGCACATTAGAATTTTTATGCATATTAGGTTTGGGGAGAGATTTTAATGTGGTCCATCCTTTATACAAGTGAGCTCTTTAAACTCATCATTGCTGTAATGGCAGTGAACCTGTGATGTCACATGTGTGGATGTATGCTCTAGAGTAAAAAAAAAGTATTTGTATAAACCTGCACGTACTTTTTTTGCTTTTATGTATATTTCAGAGAAGAAGGTCAGTTTTATTTATGTTAAAGAGCTTATCATTGGACTTTAATTGTGTGAAATATATGAGACTTTCATGGTCATAATTAAATCTAGGGCAGAGATATGAAGGAATGAGTTAAGTAGTGTCGATACTGGATTTTTAAGGATTAACTGTTATTTTTAAAGTCAAGGGAATCATTTTTCATTGACCTTTTTTGCTAGTATGATCTCATTTGTCATGGTAAGTTGGCACTGACCAAAATGAGGGAATAAAAGAGAATGCATCTATTCATGAACCAAGAGCCTAGTGCAGTAAAGACGTCTTTCTCGTTGCCTTGCCTTTCCCATGCTATTTTATTCATACCCTCCCTCACCCTTCTTTCCGTTCCCTTCCCTGTCAAGTGAATTTATTATGAGGATGATTGTAATTCTTGTTTCTAAGTAAGAAGGATTCTTTCTTGGAAAAAGCTTCTCTTTTGATCTGGGTTTTGTTTTAAGGGGCTTCTCTTATTTTACTTGTTTGTTACACTACAAATGTCAATATAATCAAAGGTCTAGTCTTAAAAATTGCATTTCTTACAGTTACTTATAGCAAAGAGCGGTTTCTTAGACCTATAACTTGCTTCACAGTTGCTGGGACAAACCTTAAGAACCCAGTTTTTTTTTTTTTTTTTTTTGAGACAGCGTCTCCCTTTGTTGCCCAGGCTAGAGTGAGTGCCGTGGCGTCAGCCTAGCTCACAGCAACCTCAAACTCCTGGGCTCAAGCAATTCTGCTGCCTCAGCCTCCCGAGTAACTGGGACTACAGGCATGCGCCACCATGCCCGGCTCATTTTTTCTATATATATTAGTTGGCCAATGAATTTCTTTCTATTTATAGTAGAGACGGGGTCTCGCTCTTGCTCAGGCTGGTTTCAAACTCCTGACCTCGAGCAATCCGCCCGCCTCGGCCTCCCAGAGTGCTGGGATTACAGGTGTGAGCCACTGCGCCGGGCTAGAACCCAGTTTTTGAATAGCAAAATATTCTCTTTGAGGAAGAGATAGGTAATTAGCATTTTGTTCTTTCTCTTGTAGTCCTTGGGGGTTATGCTGTCCCTCTTACCCCAGTCTTCCCAAATCAGAGAATGTAATAGGGTTTGCTGAAATGAGCTTGTTCCTTCTGGCCCTCCTTTTACCCACTGTCAGTGCTGAACTTTATGGGGTGTGGGTAGAGGAATGAGGTTAGCAGTTGTCTGCACTGCCTTTTACCTGTTTCTTGGGAAGACATTTGAGGTACTTGCCAAGAGACAGAGTGAAGGTGGAATACTTCTTAGAAGAGAATACAGTTGACTCTTGAATAACCCTAGGCTTGAGGGCGTTGACTCCTCTGTGTAGTAAAAAATCTGTATATAACTTTTGACTCTTTCCAGAGTTTAAGTATTAATAGTCTACTGGTGATTGGAAGCTGGCCAATAACAAGCCAGTTGGTTAACACCTATTTTGTATGTTATATGTTTTATAGACTGTATTCTCAGAATAAAGTAAGTTAGAGAGAAGCAAATGTTGTTAAGAAAATCATAAGGAAGAGAAAATGTGTTTACTATTCATTAGTGGAAGTGGATCATTTTAAAAGTCTTCATTCTTCATGTTTAATAGGCTGAGGAAGGGGAGGGGGTTGGTGTTGCTGTCTTGGGATAGCAGAGGCAGAGAAAATCCACATGTAAGTGGACTCATGCAGTTCAAACCCATGTTGTTTAAGGGTTCTCTGTATTTTAGGTAAATTGATTGACTTTTAAATTTCATTTTTTTATAGTTTACTGGGATGGTAGTTTTTAACAAGCCTATTACTTGTTATTTTGGTTCTATATGCTGTTGATTATCTGAAATTTGGGGTAAACTGTACTATTGTTTTATTCTGGTAACAACACTTTAAGTTTGAGGCTAAGCTCCAGGAATAATTTGCTAGAGATGTCAATGATAAAGTAATATTTTAATGCTAGTTTTTGTAATAGAAGAAACTTTTACAATGGCATTTTTTCTAAATAGTTTTTATTCCTGTAGATTTTATATTAAATTGCAAAGAGTAGTAAAGAGCTATATAATGTCTTTTTTTTATACACACAGATAGAGCTAATTGACAGAGTTGATGACATCTATCGGAACACTTCATGGGACAATGCGGGTTTTAAAGGCTATGGAATACAGATAGAGCAGGTATTTATCAATAGATATCGCTTTTATTACTCAGGTATATGAAGCAAATATTTGTCACTTGTATTCAAAACCCCAAAACCTTGTTTTCAACATTAATGATAAATATTCTCAAATACCAATTATTTTCTAATAAGTTGTGCAGTGTTTTTGATATTAATTCTGTATTAAGTTTTCTGTCCTTAGGCTCATTTTAGGCGGAAAATCTTCTAGTGCCCCATGCTCTCTTGCTTCTCTGAATTTATGACCCTTTCATTCCCTGTCATGTTTTTTCCCCTCTAAGTATGCTCTAAGTCTTTAGTTAGAATCCTAGTACATGTTGTTGAATCCTTAGTCAGAAAGTTTCCTGAAAAATACTGTGTACTTTTGCAAGGCATCTATATATACAGAACCATTAAGTCTTTTTTCCCCTAAATACCTCCATAATAGAGTATGTCCAACAATGATGTTTTGATGTCATCTTAATTATGTCTCGTGGTAAAAGTTGTTTCAAATTGCTAAGAATGATTAAAGATACTGCCTGACATTGGGTATTGCTGTGGGAAGATAGACATTTTGATGTGTAAATTATATAAATTATTATCTATCTTTTTATTATCTATCTTTTTCCAGGCTTTTTGTACTAAACTATATTCTTATGGGTTCTGTATGTTGTATAGAATATAGAGGTGTTTTTTTTAACCTTTGAAATCAGGCACCATGCTTATAAATGTTAAACTTTGATAGATAATACTTGTGTAAAACTAAGAGAATTATTTTTCCTTTCTTGTTCTCTTTTACTGTTTGCATTTTCTTTTTTAAGTTATTATTGGATGGGTAATATATACACATGATACAAAAACCAGTGAAAAGTAAGTCTCTGCAATCTTTGTCCATCGTCAAACCAGTTCCTTCCCCCAAAGACATTCACATCACTAGTTTAAATGTGTCTTTCCAGACATGTTGTATGCATGTACAGTGTGTGTATGTGTATGTCTGTATTTGACACAGTGGTGATATGCTAAATTCTTTTGCACCTTGCTTTTCCATTTCACAATATGGTGGAGATAATTTTATATTGAAATAAATAAAGGTGCCTCACTTGTTTTAAGATAGCTGCATCTTTTTTTTTTTTTTTTTTTTTGAGACAGAGTCTCGCTTTGTTGCCCAGGCTAGAGTGAGTGCCGTGGCATCAGCCTAGCTCACAGCAACCTCAAACTCCTGGGCTCGAGCGATCCTTCTGTCTCAGCCTCCCGAGTAGCTGGGACTACAGGCATGTGCCACCATGCCCAGCTAATTTTTTATATATATATCAGTTGGCCAATTAAGTTTCTTTCTATTTATAGTATAGACGTGGTCTCGCTCTTGCTCAGGCTGGTTTTGAACTCCTGACCTTGAGCAATCTGCCCGCCTCGGCCTCCTAGAGAGCTAGGATTACAGGCGTGAGCCACCGCGCCCGGCCGATAGCTGCATCTTGTTCGAGTTTTAGGGGACTTGTAAATAAAGTTCCTTTTTGCTTTAAGAACTTGGAACCAATTGAAGAACATAGGAGTAAACATAGGACATCAATTTCTTTACATCTGATAAAAGATGGATTAGAGGATGTGGTTTAGATGTGCAGTCATGGTGGGCTTCCAAGGGCACCCAAGAATTGTCCTTGACCACCCAACACGGGAACTATAGAGCCTGTCCCCCATTGGGCTTGCCACACATTGGCAGAGGAGATCAGGGAGGGCCCTCTCAGGCAGGCAGGGAAGAGAGACATCCAGACACCACTGAGCTGAGGATGACTTCTTTCTTTATCCCAAACTCACTAAGACTTTGTTCTTTTTTTTCTTTGTAGGAGGTTTAATATCATTTTGTCTGAAATGCATATACAAAGAGAAACCCCTATTATAATCTTTTAGTCTTGTGGTGCACAAAGTGATGTACATTTTTTCATTCTTTGCCAAATTGTTCACTGTAGTTGTAGCAAATATTTTAGGCTCATGTAACCCAACTTATCATTTTTTCCAAATATAGGGGATATGAAAATTTAGGAGTACATTTATAACTTTATAACATTTATAACTTTATTTATAACATGAATTATAAATCATGAACACACGTTTTCCATACCATATGTTTCTCAGTCTGTTAAACATTGACTATTAGAGCTAAAAAATTTATGAATTTTGGTTTTACAAAACATTTTTTCTGGAATGATAGTCTTTTTTTGAACAGATAAAATAATGCAGTATTCAAAGTCTTACGATTTTTTTTAGAAGTGTTCTAAGTATATTATCTCTTTAAGTATAGATTCGCATTCTCAAGTCTCCACAAGAGGTAAAACCTGGTGAAAGGCACTATAATATGGCAAAAAGTTACCCAAACGAAGAAAAGGATGCTTGGGATGTGAAGATGTTGCTAGAGGTAAGTTGTAGAATCCTGGATATGGTCCTGTTAACACCACTTTGTGATTTCTAATACATGGATTCTATGCATTAATGAAGGAGCATAGTATTATAGAAAAGATTATGGAAAACCAGGAGCAGTCCCTACCAACCCCTAGCCGATCCAACAGTGACTCCATCCCCTGTAGCAGTGCAGACAGCAAATAGCAAAAAACTGTGAAAAAGAAAAATACTATAAAACAATGCTTCCTAGTCTTTGAGAATCTAGCGAGGCAGTGGATCTTCTCTAGAAAATAACATGGATACCCAATATATAGACAAACCCACAGTGTTGATTTAAATGGATTTAAAATCTTTATTTTAGTAACATAAAATTAGGTATATGTACTTTCCTGTAAGTTTATAACTTATATGTTATGAAAACAAAAAAATTTTAAATGAAAATTCCTGTAAAACCAATAGAATCCTTGAATCTGCTTTGCTATGGGGTGCTGTGATCCCCTTGTAGCATTGGGGCATCTCCAGTGCCGGGCTATACATCTTCAGAGCAGTCCTCAGAATAGCAGTGAGTGAGTTCTGAATAGTTGGAGAAAGTGCCCGGCTCTTCCCTTTTTGCCCTCTGCCAGATGATAGCATGTGCCTCTCCCCTGTGCAGATAGGTAAGAAACCCAGGGAATGGGCAACACACTGCTCAGGGTTATGGTTGCTGGTGCAGAACTGCGGTCAGTAGTGGTTTTCTGCAATGTTTAGTTGAAACATCTTTTAGTGTGATGTAATTGTCAATCTAATTAATAATGCTTTTTTTTTTTTAAGCAATTTAGCTTTGATATAGCTGAGGAAGCATCTAAAGTCTGTCTGGCACATCTTTTCACGTATCAAGATTTTGATATGGGAACTCTTGGACTAGCTTATGTTGGTTCTCCCAGAGCAAACAGTCATGGAGGTGTTTGTCCAAAGGGTAGGTTTTTCCATTTGTTGTGTGAATATGATGCTGGAATAGTAAGCTGATTGGATTATATTATAATTCTACATTTTATAAGCAATTTGTCTCTGTTTCCTTTTCCCTTTAGCTTATTATAGCCCAGTTGGGAAGAAAAATATCTATTTGAATAGTGGTTTGACCAGCACAAAGAATTATGGTAAAACCATCCTTACAAAGGTATGTTTGGAGTTTATTGTAGGAGAACCTAAGTCATTAAATTAAAATACACATTTTTTTTGGTGGCAAATATGAAAATTAAACATATAAAGAAGAATATTAAAATGACCTGTCAGCCTCCTTTTGAGACATGAGGATTTGCTTTTCCTGGAGCTCTCTGACCTGCAGCTTCTCCAGGGCTCCCTGCTCCTAGTCCTGCAGCACAGCTGTCACTCTGAGGCATCCCACTGTCTCATTTCCGGGACCCCATGTTGGCATCTTTCTTGATTTATACCATCATATTGGTATAGTATATTCTCCAGGAACTTCCTAAGAAAAGGTATATGAGGTGCATATTCGTGGGATTTTACATATATGAAAATGTCTTTATTTCACTCTTAAACTTGATTGATAATTTTGCTGGATCTATTCTCAGTTCTCCATTGTCTTCTAGTGTTCATGTAGCTATTAAGGATTCTGAAGCTGTTCTGAGTCCTTAGCCTTTATGTGTCACCAGTTTTTTCCCTTCTGGAATATCTTAGGATCTTGTTTTTGCCCAGATATATCTGTTAAAAATGTGTTTAGCTACAAATAACAGAAAATCAGTAAACAATGGCTTACATTAGGGGTTTATTTGTCTTGGTCAACAAGAAGTTCAGGGATAGCATTCCTCAGGTGGCACAGCAGCTCTTAAGGGTCCACGGTCTTCCTAACTTTCACTCAGCTATTCTAAGCACAAGGCCTTTGTCCTCATGCTTGTCATCTCATAATTTCAAGATGGTTCTCTTCCTTTGTTGGAGAGAGGACGAGAAAGAAAATGTCTGGATGTGCCACAGTTTATCCATTCACCAACCGAAGGAAACCTTGGTTGCTTCCAAGTTTTGGAAATTGTGAAGTATCTGCTAGAAACATTCTTGTGCCAGTTTTTGTGTGGACCTTAGTTTTCAACTTGTTTGGGTAAATACCAAGGAGCATGATTGCTGGCTAGTAGGGTAAAGGTGTATTTAGCTTTGTAAGAAACTGCCAGACTGTTTTCCAAAGTGGCTATAAAATTTTGTATTCCCACAAGCAATGAATGAGAGTTCCTGTTGCTCTACATCCTTGTCAGAATTGTGTTGTCAGTGTTCTGGATTTATCCATTCGAATAGGATAGTAGTCATATCTCATTGTTTTAATTTGTAATTCCCTAACAGCATAGAATGTCAAACATTTTTTCATTGCTTGTTTCCTATCTGTGTATCTTTGGAGGCATATGTTCTGATCGTTTATCTATTTTTAAATTGGGTTGTTCATTTTCTTATTGTTGAATTCTAAGAGTTACTTGCAATTTTTTTTTTTTTGAGACAGTGTCTCATTCTCTTGCCTAGATTAGAGTGCAGTGGCATCATCACAGCTCACTGCAACCTCAAATTCCTGGACTCAAGCAGTCCTCTTGCCTCAGCCTCTGGAACAGCTGTGACTACAGGTGTGCACAACCACACCTAGCTAATCTTTTTCTATTTTTTATAGAGATGGGGTCTCATCATATTGCTCAGGCTGGTATCAAACTACTGGCCTCAGTGATTTTTCCACCTCAGCCTCTCAAAGTGCTGGGATTATAGGCATGAGGTGCTGTGCCCAGCCTCTTGGTATATTTTGGATAGCAATCTTTTATAAGATGTGTTTTTTGCAAATATTTTCTCTCAGCCTATGACATATCCTGCTTTACATTTGTATAGTCCAGGAAATGGCAATATTCTTACTTTTCAATATTAATTTTTTCTTTCTCTATTCCTTTCTTTCTTCTGTCCTGTTCTTTCTACAGGGTTGTAACAGTTCATCTTAACTGTTCTTTGGTTATCAAATTCTAGATGATCTTCTAATATGCTTCACTTTCCTTTTATGAAGTGGAGGAGAAGGGGTTGTTTGTGATGTGACCCAACTCTTTAGTAGGTTTGGGAAGATGAAGGGATTTACAGACATTGGAAAAATAAAAAACACAAAACAAAAACAAAAAGCTGTCAAGCCAGGAAGCTTAAAGGAATACCATGAAGTGAAAGAAGCAAGTCTGAAAGGCTACATACTGTATGATTGAAAATATATAACATTCTATACCAAGGATATATGCAGAATGAGAAAGAAAAGTGAAAATAAATAAAATAATAAAAAGTAAAAATAATTTATAAAAAAAAAAAGAAAATATATAACATTCTGGAAAGGACAAAACTATGGAGGCTCTGAAAATGATCAGTGGTTGGGGAAGAAGGGATGAACAGTGGAGTGTAAGGGATTTTTAGGGCCGTGAAAATAATCTGTAAGATACTGTAACAGTGGATATAAGACATTATGCATGACTTTTGTCAAAGCTCATAGAACGTACAACACACAGAGTGAACCCTAATATCAATTGTGGATTTTGGGTGATTGAAAACAGGACGAGTCAGGTTTGCAGGTACCTGCCTGTAGTCCCAGTTACTCTGGAGGCTGAGGCAGGAGGATCGCTTGAGGCTGGCAGTTTGAGTCTGTAGTATGTTTTGATCCTACATGGGAATAGCCACTGCACTGCAGCCTGGCCAAGGTAGTGAGACCCTGACTCTTTTAAGAAACAAACCCCCAGCAACAATGTAAAGTGGTATGAGAGAAAAAAAAGACACTAATCAGTTTTAGGGAAACTTTTAATTTTCAAAATTATTTCTTTCTTTGCCTGTGCCTTTACTTTTTTGGGGTCACCACTTAATGGTTTGATTTCATGACATATTTTCCTTGGTCTTCCACACATAGAACAGAAAATAAATTTGCTTTGAAATCTTTGAGGTACAGTGTCACTAGCAAATCTACTTAATGAATTTTTCCTAAGCACAGTTAAGAATTACTTCTCTGCATTATGCCTTTGGAATTTGAGAGCTTTTTGCTAAAAAATTTAAGGTTTTTCACACTATTGTTTTAATATAAACATGTGGAAAGACTCTTCCTGTATAGAAAAATGACTTGTGAAATATTTTTTGCAAGTTTCATGGAGTGGTTTTTTTCCCCTTCCTTGGGAAAAAAGATCAGGAATTTTATGTTTGTAGTTTTTATTTTATTCAGATAAATATGGGAAAAAAATCTAGCTTTGTTTGGTTGAATTTATTCTTATTCAGATAGAAATAATCTGATGATCTGATAGATTAAGTATAGTTCTGCAAGTGGATTCTGAGTAAACTAAATCTTCTGCGTCATTAAGATTGTTAGTGAACGTGAATTCAGTCACTGAGATAATAAAACATTTTCTTCTTCTTCCTTAATTGTCTTTGTTTTTTCACCCCTTGCTTTTTTTTTTTTTTTTGAAACAGAGTCTCACTTTTGTTGCCCAGGCTAGAGTGAGTGCCGTGGCATCAGCCTAGCTCACAGCAACCTCAAACTCCTGGGCTCAAGCGATCCTCCTGCCTCAGCCTCCCGAGTAGCTGGGACTACAGGCATGCACCACCATGCCTGGCTAATTTTTTGTATATATACTTTTAGTTGGTCAATTAATTTCTTTCTATTTTTAGTAGAGACGGGTCTCGCTCTGGCTGGTTTTAAACTCCTGACCTTGAGCAATCCGCCCGCCTTGGCCTCCCAGAGTGCTAGGATTACAGGCGTGAGCCAGGGAGCCTTCACCCCTTGCTTTTTAAGCTGCTTTAGGCGTTAATGGCAATGTGATTGGGATGAGGGGAGGGGCAGGTGGGAGGGCCTTGACAGATAATTGCAGTTAGCTATTGGATCGGCACCAGACACAGTTTAGGGTTGGTATGGCCAGTGTTTGATATTGTGTTATGAATCTTTCAGAATGTAAGTTCTATTTTATTAATTTCTATGACACTGTTTGATAATATTAAATAAGCTCCTGCTTATTCTGTTTAATTTCTGTAATGGGTAGAAAAAATCATAGTCCAATTGTTACTCTTTCGTCACTCTGATTAGAGATCTTTATTTAAGACAGCATGGGCCCTGCTGGCAAAAGTAGCTGAGGGTCAAAGCACGATGTAGGATGTTGATTAAAAAAAAAAAAAAGCTTATGGATGGTTCTTGGGAAATAATGTTTTCTTTGCATGATCCTTAAGGAAGCTGACCTGGTTACAACCCATGAATTGGGACACAATTTTGGAGCAGAACATGATCCAGATGGCCTAGCAGAATGTGCGCCAAATGAGGACCAGGGAGGAAAATACGTCATGTATCCCATAGCTGTGAGTGGCGATCATGAGAACAATAAGGTATGTGTATGTTTGGGAGCTTTTTTATGTGGTTAGGAAAGAAAGGGGCTGTATGTGATGATCATAATGAGAGGTGAGAAAAGTATTCTATTCCTAGGAATGGAATGCAATTCCTATTTTCCTAAGGATGGGTCTGCAAATTACAAAGTACCTTGAAAGTTGGTTGTGCGTTTTGGAGTGAAATGTGGTCCATCTAAATCTCACTAAAGCATCTGGATGCAATGGCTCACACCTGTTGTAATCCCAGCACTTTGGGAGGCCAAGATGGGAGAATCACGTGAGGCCTGGAGTTTGTGACCAGCCTCGGCAACATGGAGAGACTTCTTCTCTACAAAAAATTTTAAAAATTACCAGGACGTGGTGCCACGTGCCTATAGTCCCAAATTACTGGGGAAGCTGAGGCAGGAGGATCGCTTGAGCCCAGGAGTTTGAGGTTGCAGTGAGCCATGATTGTACCACTGCACTCCAACCTGAACAAAGTGAGACCCTGTCTCAAAATAAGTAAATAAAAATAAATAAATAAATCTGGTTAAAGCTCTCATTTGGACTGTTATCAAGCTTAATCCTGTGCAGATTGGGATCTAAGAAAAATTACTAATAGTAATGGCTTTTGTTAGAGTTCTGGATTTCAAGGTCTGGTGGGCTTAGACTTTATGTTAAAAATTTCTTATCATTTTGTTACAAGTTGTCATTCGTTTTAATTCTACAGTACCCCACAATTTACATTACCCCACAATTTACATGTTTTTACTAACTTTTGCAATAAAACACAGTTTGCCAGACTACAAGCCCCGTGTGGGAAAGGCCTTTTTCTGTCTTATTCACAGCTCTATCTCTAGTGCCTGGTAGGAGTACCTGGAACTTAAATATTTTTTAAATAAATAATTGAACAATTTACTATTTCAGGTTTCTGATAGAGTACACTAGTTGATTTGGGATATTGTAAACAATTTCAGAGACTTCAGAAGTACCTGTGACTAACTCTTGGAATCTGAACTGAAAGTTAAAAGTATTAATAAATGTCTGTCTTTTATTTTGTTTGAGGTTAAGCAGTTTAAGGGAGTGTGAGGAGAACATTAGTTGTGCTGCTGCGTTGGGGAGGCCCTAAAGGAGTGTGGGTGTGATGGGGGGAGGGAGAATATTGTCCTGACACGTGCTTTGAGCCGGGCTGTGGGCTCGGGGAGCCTGCCCAGGGTCTGGAGGAAAGGCTGACATCTGGGTTTTCCCGGCCCTGAAACCCTGCTTTTCAAGATTTCTGCCTCCTTTTCTTTTTTGGTTGTTGTTTGATCTTTTTTTTTTTTTTTTTTTTCAACTGCCTTTAACTAGTCCTTTTTTGTTTTTTTTTTTTTTTTTTTTTGTGAGAGTCTTGCTTTGTTGCCCAGGCTAGAGTGAGTGCCATGAGTCAGCCTAGCTCACAGCAACCTCAAACTCCTGGGCTCAAGCAATCCTCCTGCCTCAGCCTCCCGAGTAGCTGGGACTACAGGCATGCACCACCATGCCCGGCTAATTTTTTCTATATATATTATTTGGCCAATTAATTTCTTTCTATTTATAGTAGAGACGGGATCTCACTCTTGCTCAGGGTGGTTTTGAACTCCTGACCTCAAGCAATCCGCCCGCCTCGGCCTCCAAGAGTGCTAGGATTATAGGCATGAGCCACCGTGCCCGGCCTGCCTTTCTTGATTTTCGGGTTATGTTTTATTGTTCCTCTGCTTGACAACTTGGGCCTGAAGAATATTTTCCTACCCCTTTGTGTCCACTCTTCCAACTTATAAAAACCCCTGTTGAATTTTCCTTCTTTATTCAAAGGTCACCTCTGCATTTCTAATCACGTTCATTATAGTTCAGTGCTGTGCAACAGAGTGTTCTGTGATGACAGGAATGCTGTACATATCTGCACGGAAGCCACCAGCCATGTGTGGCTGTGGAGCAACTGAGATGCGGCTAGAGACTGAGAAACAGAATTTCTTTTTATTTTTTTATTTTAGCGTATTGTGGGGATACAAGTGTTAAGGTTACATATATTGCCTATGCCCCCCTCCCCCCTCGGGTAAGAGCTTCAAGCATGTCCATCCCCTAAACGTTGCACACCTTACTCGTTATGGTTGTATATACCCATCCCCTCCTCCTCCCTCCCACCCTCTTGACACCCGATAAATGTTACTCCTACGCGTGTCCACTTAGGTGTTGATCCGTTAATACCAATTTACTGGTGAGTACATCTGGTGCTTATTTTTCCATTCTTGAGATACTTCACTTAATAGAATGGGTTCCAGCTCTATCCAGGAATATGAGAAACAGAATTTTTAATTCTATTTTATTTACAAGTGATGTCCTGTGATGGGAATTGGGAACAGACATTAACTATAAAAGGATGTGAGGAACCCTACTGGGAAGATAGAAATGTTCTAAAACTTACTTATGGCTATGGTTTCACCATTCGGTAAAGTTACTACAAATTACTGAATTGTACACTTGAAATGAGTGAATTTTGTAATAATGTAAAATATGCCTTAATAAGCTTTAAAAAGCAAACTAAAACATTAGTGTAGGAGCAGAGGATATAGAGGAGCCATGAAGCCATGAGTTGATTATTGTTGAAGCTTGAGGCACGTGGGCTTTTGCGATACCATTCTGTCCACTTTATAGGTGCTTGAAAGCTTCTGTAATAGAAAGTGTAAAATTTGCGACTGGGGGAAAACTTTAAATAGCCACATATAGCTAGTAGCTACCATATTGGATAGCACTCCTCTTATTGACAGGTCACTTGCTTCTTGGTTATGAGGACGGTTGTCAGAACTTTGGGGGAAAATGTTATACTTTGCAAACTCTGCCTGAGGGGGCATACATGTTGCTAACTCTAATGCTACAAGTTTCTTAGTAAAATTTCCCCTATGGGCTCTTCAGAAAGCCCTGTAAGAACTTGTTAATGAGAATGGAGGCAGGGCAGAGCTCTTTTTTTCTGGAGCTGCGAGTCTGTGTCATTGAAGAACAATTTACTTATTTTTTTCTGAGCACATCATATTTAGTGTATGTTTTTATAGTTTAGTTTTCCCAAGTAGCAATCCTCTTATAAGAACATAATGTGTATCTTCTAATCTGTTTTAAATGAATTCCCTAATAAAAATGTTTTTAACTAGATGCAAAGGACTATAGGACAAAAGTAGTTTCTAGTTTCTTTGACCTAGAAAGACAGGACTCTGCTAGACAAACCACTGAAAAGCAGAAGCCATGGGTGGGCTTCGCTGTGGAAAGATGACATTAATGGGCCTGGCATGGTGGCTCATGCCTGTAATCCTAGCACTCTGGGAGGCCGAGGCCGGTGGATTGCTCGAGGTCAGGAGTTCAAAACCAGCCTGATCAAGAGTGAGACCCTATCTCTACTAAAAATAGAAAGACATTAATTGACCAACTAAAAATATATATACAAAAAATTAGCCGGGCATGGTGGCACATGCCTGTAGTCCCAGCTACTCAGGAGGCTGAGGCAGTAGGATTGCTTGAGCCCAGGAGATTGAGGTTGCTATGAGCTAGGCTGATGCCACGGCACTCACTCTAGCCTGGGCAACAAAGTAAGACTCTGTCTCAAAAAAAAAGAGATTACATTAATGAAAAGGAATGTGGGACCTTTGGCATTGTAACCTCCTAGCAAGGTTAAACTGGAGGGAAGAGGAGGTTTTGTGATGAGGATGCACACAGAAGGCCCCCAGGTCTTTAGGGAACATGTAGGCAAATGGCTAGAGTTGAGGATTGGTCCCTTTTTCCTTAGCACCATCCAGGGGCTACAGCTACTTGGGAGGTGTAACTGATAAATCAGTGAAGAGGCCTTCTTATCTTTTTACTGTGAATTTTAATTTATTTGGACCTGAGCCTCCCAGAGGTGAAATGATAAAATGGAGCTCATAGATCTGCAGTGCTGATAAATAAACCCACTAAAATTCCAACTGCCAGAGGCCCAGATTGGAATAACCAGACCTCTTAAACATCTTAAACTATAAAAACAAATTGGAAGATCTTTTTAAAAAGTCCAGTTAGTAATTCTTTTTAGGGTGATGAGGTCTTCACTATCTTTCTGAAAGTAATTCCTTTGCTATCTGACTCAGTGGTTACAGGTGCCTTTGGAGGATCTTTGTTCTCAGAGGCTTCATGATTATTGTCTGGCGTGAAAGTGAATCCATTTTCCCATCTTCAGAGAGCTGTGGAGACCCTGCCCCCCAAAAAAACCACACACAGTTTTTTCCAAGCCTCTTACCCCTTCTCCTTTTCTTTTCTTTCCTTTTCTCTTCTCTTCCCCTCTTCCCTCCTTTCTTTTTGGCAGGCTCTCACTCTGTCACCCAGGCTGGAGTGCAGTGGCTTCAGCTTAGCTCACTGTAACCTCAAACTCCTGGGCTCCAGTGATCCTCCTGCCTCAGACTTCTGAGTAGCTGGGACCACAGGCATGTCCCAGCACGCCTGGCTAATTTTTCTATTTTTAGTAGAGATGGGGTCTCACTCTTGCTCAGTCTGCTCTAAAAATTCCTGCCTCAGCTTACCAAAGTGCTGGGATTATAGGCATGAGCCACCATACCTGGCCTTACCCCCTTTTCTGATAATTTCAGATGGTCTGGAAAATAGGTTCAGTTTTAGAGCTCCTGGAAAAATTCTTAAACTTAAAAGGGGGCCATTTGTACTCCAGGGTGAGAAGCTAGGTTCTTCCTTTCAGGTACTGGTCAACTGTAGCAAAAATCAGAGAAACTTAAAATCTTGCTGACCCATGAAATGTTTAGGTAACAGTTTGGTATTTAATTTTTTTTTAGTAGACTATGTATAATATGCCTCTTACTAAGCTCAAATATTTAAAAACTTTAAATGTGGACCATCCATATAAATAGCCAGGGAAAGAGAAAGGAGTAAACCAAAAACAGACCCTCTTCTGTTCTCCTGAGTCATTTCGTTTGGGAGGATAACAGTGTGTGTCTAATTCTCATGTCATTGCATCGGTGGCATGCCTGGGGTTGGGGAAGACTTTGAGCCTGATGGAATTCTTGAACTCTCTTGTGCTAGACTGCTTGTCCCCTCGAGGGCACTGGCTGGGATGTTTGGTCTCAGGACTTGCATAGCTTGCTTGCCTTCATGTGAAGAATTTTTAGGTCCTTGGCCAAGTTGCCACCAGCCATTTAGCGCCCTACAGAGGGAGATGCTCAGTTCCATATCTGTGGCATTTGGTGGTGACGCTGATGGCCTTGACACAATTCCAGGGGTGCGTTGATGGTGGTTTTTACGTTAAGAATTTGTCCCTAGAGAAGAAGCACAAACACTACATGGGAATTAATTTTTATGATGTTATTTTGGGTCCTCGTGGCCTTTTTTCTCTTAAGATGTTTTCAAACTGCAGTAAGCAGTCAATCTATAAGACCATTGAAAGTAAGGCCCAGGAATGTTTTCAAGAACGCAGCAACAAGGTGTGTGGGAATTCGAGGGTGGACGAAGGAGAAGAGTGTGATCCTGGCATCATGTACCTGAACAACGACACCTGCTGCAACAGCGACTGCACATTGAAACAGGGTGTCCAGTGCAGGTGAGGATTTTCCCACAGTGAGTTCGGGAGTTGGTATGACAAGGTGTTTAATAGAACATTGAACATGCAGGGGCTTTAGAATTAACTGGAGGGTATATATGTGCATACAGTGTGTGTACGTTTACCTCTTGTTTTTCACAGCATGAAAATGCTTTTGGAAAGCAGTGTGACATTGTGCAACAAATCCTTGACCTTGCATGCTGTCTGATATAGCAGTCCCACAGTTCAAAAAATCTTTTTTTAAGAAAACAGACATATAAGAAAGATGGTTTAACAAAGATGTTCATGACTACATTCTTTTATAATAGCAAAATGTTGGGAACAGTCAAATGACAATCCTGGGATGTAAATGAGTTATCTTGTATCTATATTGTTGTAGAATACTGTTTAATGTGGGCTGAATGCAATGGCTCACGCCTATAATTCTAGCACATTGTGGGACCAAGACGGGAGGATTGTTTGAGACCAGGAGTTCCAGACCAGCCTGATGGCCGGGCACGGTGGCTCACGCCTGTAATCCTAGCACTCTGGGAGGCCAAGGCGGGTGGATCACTCAAGGTCAGAAGTTCGAAACCAGCCTGAGCAAGAGTGAGACCCCGTCTCTACTATAAATAAAAAGAAATTAATTGGCCAACTAATATATATAGAAAAAATTAGCTGGGCATGGTGGTGCATGCCTGTAGTCCCAGCTACTCGGGAGGCTGAGGCAGAAGGATTGCTTGAGCCAGGAGATTGAGGTTGCTGTGAGCTAGGCTGATGCCATGGCACTCACACTAGCCTGGGCAACAAAGTGAGACTCTGTCTCAAAAAAAAAAAAAAAAAAAAAAGGCCGAGCGTGGTGGCTCACGCCTGTAATCCTAGCACTTTGGGAGGCCGAGGTGGGCGGATTGCTCAAGGGCAGGAGTTCGAAACCAGCCTGAGCGAGACCCCATCTCTACCAAAAAATAGAAATAAATTAATTGACCAACTAAAAATATATATACAAAAAATTAGCCGGGCATGGTGGCGCATGCCTGTAGTCCCAGCTACTCGGGAGGCTGAAGCAGTAGGATCGCTGAGCCCTGGAGATTGAGGTTGCTGTGAGCCAGGCTGACGCCACGGCACTCACTCTAGCCTGGGCAACAAAGTGAGACTCTGTCTCAAAAAAAAAAAAAAAATACTAGCAGGTGAGGTGGTGTCACTGTAGCCACTACTTGGAGGCTGAGGCGGAAGGATTGCTTGAGCCCACCTATTTGAGGTTGTAGTGATCTATGATCACACCACTGCACTCAAGCCCAGGTGAACAGAGCAAGGGTCTGTCTCAAACAAAAAGAAAGAAATATCCTTGGGAGGCTGAGGCAGCAGGATTGCTTGAGCCAGGAGTTTGAGGTTGCTGTGAGCTAGGCTGTCGCCACGGCAGTCTAGCCTGGGCAACAAAGTGAGACTCTGTCTCAAAAAAAAAAAAAAAAAGAAATACTGTTTAATGATTCAGGTGAGGTGGTGTGACCCTGTAGCCCCACCCTACTTGGGAGAGAGGATCACTTGAACCCAAAAGTTCAAAACTGGCCTGTGCAACATAAGGAGACTCTGTCTCAAAATTTAATAAAATACTGTTCGTGGAGGAAGCTGGTTATGAGTTATATAAGGTTACCTACATTTCCATATTTATGTCCACTTATAGACCAGTGCCTGGCTTAGAAGTAGAAGGAGAAGCTTTAGTTTACGGTGGATAGTTAGGTTTAATTGTACACAGTACATATTAATACTATAAATATTGACAAGGTGTAGGTCCCTGCTTTTTTTTTTTATAAGTAATGCATTTAGTTAAAGGAAAACCAAGGACACTGATAACCACTCTGTGTACTTGCTCTTTTCTGCTAAACTGAAGCATTGATGTTGCCATATCCACATTAGGAAGGGACAGAGGAGGTGTGTGTAGGTGGTTCCAACGCCAGGGAAGTGTCGTTATACAGCAGTGAGCGAGCTAGGCGGTCTGCCATGTGATCTTCAGGTCCCTATAACATAACCGTAGCTTTTGATGTGAGGCTGTCATTTGAATTGAACTGTCCCTGTCTGTTCTTCTGCAGTGATAGGAACAGTCCTTGCTGTAAAAACTGTCAATTTGAGACGGCCCAGAAGAAGTGCCAGGAGGCTATTAATGCTACTTGCAAAGGCGTGTCTTACTGCACAGGTATGTGCTCTTGTTGCTTCTCTTGGAATTCTGTGGCTCAAGTGTATATGTGTGTGTTTGAAAGACAAGACTATATTTTGTCCAGATGAAAGCAATCCTTTTTTAACTTCACTTGCAGAGTCAAGTTTATGGTACTCCGTAGTTGGCTTTGGTGTATGTGAGACCCATTTTTTTATATTTCTCTTTCATTCTCATCACTCTTCTTCTCTTTCCCCTCACAGACATTCATACAACTGTGGTTAGTATATGCCTGGATATGTGTATACCTTTGAAAGATAAACTGTGTTATTTTGTCTATTTGTGTTTTAATGTGCCAAAATGGTATTCTGCCTTAGAACTACTTTTTAAAAATTCAGTACCATGTTTTTAAGAATTATCTATATTGTGCCACACATGTCTGTCTATATATCTGTGTCTGTATGTAGCTCACTGTTTGGGGCACCTGCAGAGTATTTACTTGTGGGATTTACTATTAATGTTCTGCTTACCCATTCACCAAGTCATAGCTACCTGGATTGCCTTCATCTCCTTGATACTGTAGCTAGGACTGTGGTTAACATCTTCCTGTGTTCTTTCAAGTGTCTGTGTAAGTATTCCCCTGGGCGCATGCTGAGGAAGGGGTTCCTAGTCGCAGCGGCAGGGACTGCACTTAGAGCACCTCTCCAGGATGGCAGTTCGGGTGCTCTGCGCCCTGTGCCCAGGGCTCCTGCGTGCCCATGTCCTGGGCCGCACTTGGTGTTTCCCAGCTGCCTTATTTTTGCCGATCTGAGGAGTGTGAAGTGATTTCTCATTCTTATTTACATTTTTCTTGAACATTTTCTGATGTGTGAATCTTTTGAGGTACTGCCAGACTGTTTTCCAAAACGGCTACACTATTTTCCATTCTCATCAGCAGTGTGTGAAGGTTCCCATTTCTCTACATCCTCACCAACACTTGTTACTGTCTTTTTGATTGTAGCCATCTAGGTTTTGTGAAAAGGATGCAAACAGAAGGCCAGAGGTCTTCATGGACATAGTGAATGTGATGTGGTGTCGTATTTTGGCTTTTCCTTTGGTTTTTATGTGTGCATCATTTTGTAACATACTGCACCTGATTTTTAAGTTCTGAGATCTGTCAGTATCGCATTATTTTTCCAGGAACCTAACTATCTCAATCAAGGTTTCAAAAAACATTTTCTACCTGGCTCGTGTTTTAGTCTTTATTGTAATAATAAAATGGATTCAGAAAGATGTTTTCTTTTTAAATAAACATAAGATTGGCTCAGGCCTGTAATCCTAGCACTCTGGGAGGCTGAGGCTGGAGGATCGTTTGAGCTCAGGAGTTTGAGACCAGCCTAAGCAAGAGCAAGACCCCATCTCTACTAAAAAATAGAAAGAAATTAGCTGGGCAACTGGAAAAAAAACCATATATATATGCCAGGCATGGCGGCACATGCCTGTAGTCCCAGCTGCTCATGAGGCTGAGGCTGGAGGATCACTTGAGTCCAGGAGTTTGAGGTTGCTGCGAGCTAGGCTGATGCTACGGCACTCTAGCCTGGGCAACAGAGTGAGACTCTGTCCCAAAAATAAACGTAAGAAATAAGACAATTTGAAAAAAACTATTTGTACTTAATCAAACAGCCTTTTGTTTCCTTGATATGTATACAAAGTAGCTGCTAGTAGAACATAAATTCGTTAATAAATCAGCATTGCATAACTAGCAGCATCAGCATCACCTGGGAACTTGCTAGAAATGGAAATTCTCAGCCTCCTCCCCGATCAATTGCATTAAAAACTGGGTACAGGGCTAGTGATCTGTGTTATGAGTCCATCAGGTGATTTCTTTTTTTTTTTTTTTTTGAGACAGAGTCTCATTCTTGGCCTGGGCTAGAGTGCCGTGGCGTCAGCCTAGCTCACAGCAACCTCAAACTCCTGGGCTCAAGCAATCCTTTTGACTCAGCCTCTCAGGTAGCTGGGACGACAGTCATGCACCACCATGCCTGGCTCATTTATATATATATTTTTAGTTGGCCAATTAATTTCTTTCTATTTTTAGTAGAGACAGGGTCTTGTTCTTGCCCAGGCTGGCTTTGAACTCCTGACCTTGAGTGATCCTCCTGCCTCAGCCTTCCATAGTGCTAGAATTATAGGCATGAGGCACTATGCCTGGCCTCAATCAGGTGATTTTGATGCGTGCTAAACTTTGAGGACTGTGTTAAATAGATGATACTGCTTTTTAAATTATTTTCCTACATGTCTGATACTCTGATTTTAGTCTTTTAAGAATGGATGTTCAGGCCAGGCATGGTGGCTCACGCCTGTAATCCTAGTGCTCTGGGAAGCTGAGGCAGGAGGATCTCTTGAGCTCAGGAGTTCAGGACTAGCCTGAGCAAGAGCGAGAGCCCGTCTCTGCTAAAAATAGAAAAATATTAGCTCATGCCTATAGTTCCAGCTACTCAGGAGGCTGAGGCCGGAGGATCACTTGAGCCTAGGAGTTTGAAGCTGCAGTGAGGTAGGATGATGTCACTGCACTCTAGCCTGGGTAACAGAGTGAGATTCTGTCTCAAAACAAAACCAAAAAGAACAGATATTCAACAAATATTTGCTGAGCATCAGGGCAGTATCATATACTGAAAATACAATAATGATCCACAGTATAGACCTTCACTGAGCTCACTGCACGTCTTCCATAACTTCCTTTCAGTAGCAGTTTCTTAAATGACTGTTCATACCATAAATACCTGTGCCCAGAAAAGGTTTTATGATATCAGAGGCAAAGTGCCTGGTAACGTATTAGGTTCTTAATAAACAATTGCTTTTGTTTGTAACAGGCCAGATTTAAGTTGTGTGTTATTGCTCTAGAGGCATTTAAGTCAGAATTCTTTTGCTGAAAGGCTAGTCCAGAGCTCTGGGTAGAGTCCATTGGTTTCATGCAGTAGTTTTTCGCTCCTTTTCTTGTGTTGACCTTTAACTGCTTGTGCTGTTGATTTTCTAGAATGAGTCACTCATTCCATCCTCCCTACTCTAAGTTTAACATTCTTTGGGGGATTTTCTGTGTCCTTAAGAATCATTGATTCATTCAAAAAATATTTATGGTTTACCTCCAGTGTGATAGGGATTGGACATAGGCTGATTAATTAATAGATTTGATTTTTGCTCTCATGGAGCTTAGCAGTCTACTGGAGGAAACAGAAGATAATAGTAGATAATCAAATAGAAATTTCAAAACATGCAAAGAAGAGAAAGAGTGTATGGTAATAGCTCATAGTGGAAGTGGGAGGCCACAGCAACCTGGCAGCATCCCTCAGAGATGTCTCAGAAAAGAAGACCTTTGAGACAGAACTTAATGATGAGAAAAAGCCAGCTTGTCCCCCCAGAAGAGTGGAAGCTGAACATTCCAGGTAGAATATTATCTGTTAATGTTGGTAACAAAGACCTTGGATCAGGGGTCCTCAAACTACGGCCTGAGGGCCACATGCAGCCAGCCGAGGACATTTATCCAGCCCAAGGGTGTTTTTGCCACCACTGCCTGTCCTGCTTAGCAGCTGACTCGTCCCGGGCCCACAGTGCGCATGTGTGGAATGTGTGCCGCACTCTCCAACAGCCCTCCAACAGTCTGAGGGACAGTGAACTGGCGCCCTGTTTAAAAAGTTTGAGGACCCCTGCCTTGGAGTATTAGAGGTCGTGCATGGAGGCTGTGGTAGCTGAGCCGAGTGGGCTCTGGGAGAATTATGTGCAGTGAAGTCGGGGCCAGGCTGGGCCAGGCCACGCAGCTCTTCTAAGCCTTCGTGGGGAGTTTGCATTTTATTCTAAGTAATGACATGTATGTGTTTATTAGTGATAATAGTATGCACACACATTATATATTTAATACATTTTTTATATGTATGTTATGTTTCACAATAAAAAGATAAAAGAAAAAACATGAACAATTGGATGACTTTTTGCTGTTTGCGAAGTGCTCACTACTTTTATGAGAAACAGTGTATCATGCACCTGTAAAACTAGTGGGCCTGTGACTCACTGTGCTAATTGGTGTTTGCTTCCAGGTAACAGCAGTGAATGTCCCCCTCCAGGAAATGCTGAAGATGACACCGTTTGCTTGGATCTGGGCAAGTGTAAAGACGGGAAGTGCATCCCGTTCTGTGAGAGGGAGCAGCAGCTGGAGTCCTGTGCATGTAACGGTAAGGACAGTGTCACGCTGAGTCCTGCAGCAGGAGATGTGGAGGCCTGGCCGTGTCTGCTGCCCACTGCCAGTCAGGGCAGTGTTGAGAACCAAGCCAAGGGAAGCAGGCAGACTAGTGTCTGGAGACAGACATCTCTGTGTTCAGATCCTGGCTCCTCCACCCTGCCTGTGAAAACTGTCGTCCTGGTCTTTCTGGCTACATTTTCAGGCCATATGGCAGGCCTTGGGGTGGGAGAGGAGGGCATTTTGTTGTGGTTAAGTATGGGTGGGCGGATGGGTAGATACCGCTCCTTGCCCTCCTCTCCCCTGTATCATATAAACCATGAAAACAACAGGAGCTGTCTATGTTCCACAGGCATTGAACTAGGATACTTCCTCTAGAACTCAACCAGAAAGAGCTGATTCCAAGATGTGACCCCACTAGATCAGAATTTTTGCCATCGTCAGCAAGGCTGGGCCTACTCTCTCCTAATCTCTGCCAGAACAGCCTGGGCAGGAGCCTCTCTAATGGTGGCTCCTCAGCTTTCCTTAGCTTCCCACACTGTTTTGGAGCCTCTGGTCTGAGGGACTCATGGACTGGCTGGACTCTGAGCTTCCTGCCCCACTTCAACAGAGAGCATGAGTTGACAAGACGGTTCTGTTTCTTTCAAAATAGACAAAGCTTGTCACTGGTCCTTTGTAATTAAAAAAAAAAAAGGAAAGAAAGAAAAAAGGCAAAAGAAAAAACAGACAAAGAACCCAGTAGTTAAAATCATTGAGTTGGGAACTTACCATCCATATAGTGGAGTAAGTGGCTCTTCTGGGTAGAATAACTTGTAAATAAAGATGACAGCACATAGGAGGTGGTCAGTAAGTAATCTGAGTAGTGGCAAGAGGCTCGGGGTGCCCCAGAACGACAGACACAGCCTGACACACAGTAAACGCCCAGGAGATATTTAATAAATGAGTGAACGATGAAAAGGCTTTTGTTTTGTTTATTTTTGTGTTCTCATTGATTTCTGTCTTCTCCCAAGTATAAATACGGACTTTCTTCTGGGTCAAATAAAGACTGTCCCCTGCTACTCTGGTAGTTTATTTTCTGGTGTTTCTCCACTCCTATGTGTGCCCATGTGGCTCATGGCTGCCCAGCTGTTTCACTGTCAGCCTGTGTGCTGTCAGCTGGGTCTGCGGGAGTTGTGGGCTGGGCTGCGCACGCAGGCAGACAGCGTTGCCGCCGCTCTGGCTCTGGTGGAGCCACTGGCCCTGCAGGGCACGTTTCAGACTGAGAAGCCGAGGATTGAAACCTGCCACGTAGCAAGAATGTTGAGACAAAGGGAAACGTTTATAGGAACGTTGTGGAGGGCTCCAAGTAGAGAGAATAATTTCACTTTTAAGAGAGGCTTTTAATTTTTTTTTTTTTTTTGTGACAGAGCCTCACTCTGTTTCCCGGGCTAGAGTGCCATGGCGTCAGCCTAGCTCACAGCAACCTCAGACTCCTGGGCTCAAGTGATCCTCCTGCTTCAGCCTCCCGAGTAGCTGGGACTACAGGCATGCGCCACCATGCCCGGCTAATTTTTATATATATATATTTTTTTACTTGGCCAATTAATTTCTTTCTATTTTTTAGTTGAGACAGGGTCTCGCTCTTGCTCAGGCTGGTTTTAAACTCCTGACCTTGAGTGATCCACCTGCCTCAGCCTCCCAGAGTGTTAGGATTATAGGTGTGAGCCACTGCACCCGGCCAAGAGAGGCTTTTAATCTCTAACAGGGACCTTCTGTAAGTTTTTTTTAACCTTGTAGCCTCTGTAACCAAGGGTCAAGGAGTGTGAGCTCAGAAAGCACTCCTTAGAGGGTGGATACGGATAGTATTCGTTTTTGAAATAAAAAGTAAATGCGGGTTCTTGTCTCTTTGGGAGCACGTCAGGGAGGGCAGGAGGAGGAGAGCGGGTCTCTGAGAAGACGCCAGCGGTCACCCCATGCTCTCTCTTTCAGAGACTGACAACTCGTGCAAGGTGTGCTGCAGGGACCGTTCTGGCCGGTGTGTGCCCTATGTTGATGCCGAACAAAAGAACTTATTTTTGAGGAAAGGAAAGCCCTGTACAGTAGGATTTTGTGACATGAATGTAAGTATGTATTTACGTACAGCCTTTTCTGTAACAGCCACATGGGAAGTTTTTATATTGTAAGTACTTGATTTTGTAAGTAGAAGGAAATCAAAACACAAATGCTGCTACATCGTTCTGGCTATTGTTTGTTTTTGTTTGAGGTTTTTAGGAGGAAAAGACCTAAAGGTCGGGAGCTTATTCGCTCCATTGCAGGAGCCTCTGAACCCAGAGACTGGGAAGGGCCTGGGGGAGGGGCTTTATGCTGAAGTTGGTTGGTTTCAAGCAGTAGGTCCTAGTTATGCTTCTGTCAACGGAAAAAAGCCAAATTCTGTAAAATAATTTTAAAGAGATTTATTCTGAGCCAAATTGGAGGATCATGACCCGGAGCCACTCGATGTGACTGGGTTACAGTTTGGTTTTTATACATTTCAGGGAAACAGGTAAAATCATAAATCAATACCTGGGAGGCATACATTGGTTTGGCCCAAAAAGGTGGGGCATCTTGAAGTGGGGGAGCTTACAGGTTATAGGTGGGTTTAAAGATTCTTTGGATTGTAATTGGTTAAAGACATGAAGCTTTGTCTAAGGCTTGGAATGTTTTAATTTAAGGAGCTATTATCAGAGATGAGCCATAGGACGCAGATTTGTTGTGTAAATTGAGGACCTGCAGGATTGTCTTGCATACTCTTAGGCCTGTTAATGGGTTACAAAGGATGTTTCCAAGAAGGGATGGGGGGCATGTTGAGGCCTGTCTGACATCCCTTCTGGCAGACAATTTAGTTTTAGGATATGCCTTTGGCCACAAGGGGGTCCATTCAGTCAGCTGGTGGGGAAGTGAGCCTTAAAATTTTATTTTAGTTCACACTTCCCTAGGTTACTTAAAGAATTGACTAAGATTACAAAATTATTCAAGGTGTGATTTTGAAACAGGTTCCGAATGAGTAGGAAAGACCTGGAAGGCTGCTTGACTTACCTACATCAGATGCTTTTATTCTCTACATAATTTTTTTTTCATGCAAAATGATAGGAGAGGGTGTCATGGTTTAGAGAGGCTTCTCGGGGGAGTATGGCTGTGTTCTTCACTGTCCTCTGTGTGTGATCAACATTGTCTTCACTAGAACACCCCATCTTTGGCAAACCGGGTTTTCTTGAGTTTTGTCTACTGGTAATTCTAAATTCACTTATAATAACAAACTAATTATGAAAGCGTCAGTTATAGTATGTTTTGCTTTCTTGGGTACTCATAACCCTGACGTTATTCTCCTGTATCAAAGATGGGACCTAAGGCCAGGCACGGGGGCTCAAGCCTGTACCGGGCACTTTGGGAGGCTGAATCGGGAGGATCACTTGAGGCTGGGAGTTTGAGACTAGCTTGGCAACATAGAGAGACCCTTTCTCTGTAGAAAATAGGAAAAATTAGCTAGGCATGGTGACTTGTGTCTATAGTCTCAGTTACTTGGGAGGCCAAGGCAGGAGGATCGCTTGGGCCCAGCAGTTTGAGGCTGAAGTGAGCTCTGATCATGCCACTGCACTCTAGCCTGGGTGAGAGAGCAAGACCCTATCTCTGAAAAAACAAACAAAAAAAGGGACCTAAATGTTTGGTTTTAATGAAGCCCTCTACATCTCAATTATTACTGTTATTTTTTTGTAGAGACAAGGTCTCATTATGTTGCCCAGGCTTGTCTCAAACTCTTGGCCTCTAGTGATCTTCCTGCCTCAGCCTCCCAAAGTGCTGGGATTATAGGCATGCGTGACCACACCTGCCAATGTCAGTTATTTTTATAAATCCATGTTGCTATCCCATGTTTAGGGATAATGCTGTATGTTTTCCCTTCATAGGGCAAATGCGAGAAACGAGTACAGGATGTAATTGAGCGATTTTGGGATTTCATTGACCAGCTGAGCATCAATACTTTTGGTAGGTGATTTCCCCAGATTGTTTACTTAGAACTTAGCTGATTTCTTTTAAGACATTAGAAAAGTGTGGTTTCAGAGTGATGTGCTCTAATCCTGCAGTAGAAGGTGAAAATATTCAACGCTTTTGTTATGAAACAACTTTGTTGGCTAGAATAAAATGGATTCGTTATAGGTCTGTTTCTTTGTAGCTTGGATGCACAAATTTTGCAACAAGGGAAATAAATTATTTGTCAAAATATTGGCTTCCTTCTTTACTAAAAAACGTATATATGATAGCATAGCATGGTCCAAGCCTATAGACGTAAGTCTGGATCTTCCTTGATGTGCCGTTTATTTAAGTGGGCCTTGTATCTTGCAGAAGTAAGGATGTACCACGTCCTCAAGAGTTCATAATTTAGAGTTAAATCACAAAAATAATAACATCCAGTTAACAGAAACTTTGTCGTCTTAAGCAGTTATCCCAGTAGTAGCCTTCTGTATTAGTCTGTTGACACAGTTACTCCAGGGAGCATGCTGAATATTCTGCAGTCTCACCAAGTGTACCAGGGCTTTAACACCTTGTTGGCGTGGAGGGAGGGTCAGGTAGGTATACTGTAGGTGGCCTAGATACTCTTCACAATACTGTGTCAGCAGTAGTGTCTTGCTAGTAACTCTGTGGCATTTCACACAACAATGATTTTAGATCTGTAAACTACTTGGTCAAGACATTTACCATTTGGAATTGTTCACAGGGAAGTTTTTAGCAGACAACATCGTAGGGTCCGTCCTGGTTTTCTCCTTGATATTTTGGATTCCTTTCAGCATTCTTGTCCATTGTGTGGTAAGTCACCAATTTTTAAATAATTAAATGTTTTATTAAAATTTTGAGCAACTCCAACCATGTAATCTTTGGAAAAGATAAAAATTTGTTCTTAGCAAAATTCTGCCTGATGTTTCCAATGACACTTTGTGGTGTTAATCTCTAGGAGAGCATGTCTTGTAAAAAGCTTAGTTAATGGCCTTTTTTGTGTGTGTTTTGTTCTAATATATTTATTCTATTTCTATATTCTAATATATTTATTCTTAGGAATTTTATACTTCTAAGCACAGGAGACTGTTTAACTAGATTTATTTAGGTCCTTTAATGAGTAAGGCTTCATTTATAAACAAGGCATTTTCAGGCTGACTTTGTTATAATAGAGCAAATATCAAGCATCAGCATTTCAAAGATGTTCCCCATATACCATATAGAGTCTTTGCATTGTGTAGGGTATTCAGATCTTTTGAGCTAAAGAGTGAGCAGTCTTTTCTATTCTTGTTCAAATTGGCTGAGAGCTACAAGTTGAACTGGGCTTTATCTAAAGAACTCCAGATACTTTATAAGTTTGAGGCCCTTGTTAAGAAATGTTCTTACAAATCCATTCACTTTGCATCTGTGGGGACTGCAGGTTTGTCTGCTGTAGGCATGAGAAGGTCAGACCCAGGCTTCCAGACTTATTCTCAGAAACTTTCATGTGCCCCTCCTATGAGCATTTTAAAAATTCTAGCACAGCTAACTCTCGGAAAAGAGGCATTTGTCCTGCCTTCTGCTTCCTTTTTGTTTCTGCGGCTTTTCTTGCCGAGGGGCCTCTCCCTAAGCAGCAGCTGTTCTCAGCGCAGCGGTGCCATGTGATGGGTGTGCAGAGGGAAGTCTCTAGGAAGCACTTCTCTTGAAGCAAAGCTGTTTTAAAAAGATGACGTATTTGAAGCTTTGGCACAGGAATATGTCTGGAAGACAGTGCTATCCATCCTGATGCTTTTGAGGGAGGGTCGGATCCCGTGTGTGAAGGTGGAAGTTGTGGGCCGTGAGGTGTGACCCTTGATTTCAGAGCACAGCCTCTGACTGGAGGGAGGGTGGTGTCTGTTTCTGGCCACAGAATACGTTCACGGTAGCCAGATGAGAAGCTGAGGCCTCGGCTCTTTGTCCTGCCTTACCCTCTGTCGCCTGTTATGCTTCAGCCACAGGCAGAGATGGAGGCAGCAGGTGGCCACGCGGTCAGCCTTCTGCAGAGCGTGATACAGGACAGAGTGTGGGCAGCAGACACTGGAAACAGCTGAGAAGAGAGTGGCCGTGGGGCGGGGCAGTGTGAGGCCAGTGCTGAGGGAGGCGGCAGGCCACCCCTCACCCTTTCCTACCAGGGCCTGCAGGCCCTGGTGATCCGCATGCACAGGAAGACGCCCCTGTTATTCTCCTGTCCACAGTGGGCCGGAGGGCGGGGATCTCTCAGAGAAATGGCATGTAAAGCATGCCTCTTTCTGTGCTTAATGCCAAAAATGCATTAGAGTGCGAAGCAAACAGTTCTAGACTGCTGGCACAGCTGGCATGTTTGCATAAGAAATGCACTAATCTATTGAACCAGCTACCAGTTTCTACAACTTGGGTTCTAAGTTCTTCACTTAATATTAGGAGCAGCCTGTGAAGAAAGAGCGCTTATTAACTAAATTTTATTTATAGGAATGATTTTTTTGTGTTTTTTTTTTTGCTATTTTCTTTCTAGGATAAGAAATTGGATAAGCAATATGAATCTCTGTCGCTGTTTCACCCCAGTGTAAGTACACCATATGAAAGAAAAAATAATTTCCAGTTGCATCTTGAGACCCTGTAAAGCAGAGATCTTCAGTTGGCCACCCCAGCAAGCGCTCTCAGCCCCTACATCCGAGCTTGCTTTGTTTACTGGAAGTTTGTGTTGCAGCAGGGAGGGTGTAGGTTGGATGTTAACTCTCCTGACAACAGCAATGATGAACTTTGATTAGTTGCATGGACAGAGATTTAAAAGAGAAGAGGGTTGGGTGTGGTGGCTCACGCCTGTCATCCCAGCATTTTGGGAGACTAAGGCAGGAAAATCACTTGAGACCAGGAGTTTGAGAGCAGCCTGGGCAACACAGCGAGACTGTATCTGCAAAAAATTTAGAAACTAGCCAGATGTAGTGGCACATACCTATTGTCCCGGCTACTCAGGAGGCTGAGGCAGAAGGATCACTTGTGCCAAGGAGTTTGAGGCTCAGCGAGCTATTATCATGCTGCTGCACTTCAGCCTGGGTGACAGAGCAAGACCTTGTCTCTAAAATAAATAAAGTGCTGTTCTGCCCCTCCTACAGCCATAAGAAGTGATCTAGCTATTCAGTATTGACTTAGTTAATATTTTGAGATTGTTTCCTGTCTTGGGATCTTAACTTGATAAGTTTGAGTTGGCTTTTGGGTTCTGGAATGGTAAGCTGCCACACACGTGAAAGCTGTTTTCAGTTAGTTCCTAGGTTGAGCAAGCTTCACCCGGCACTCCTTTGCAAGAGGGATCATAGTGCTGACAGAATGAAGCCACCTAATGGGTAAGGTTGGAGCCGTGAGGGCTTTCGATTCATCCTTTATTCCCATCTGTCAAACCCCCATCTTTACAGAATGTTGAAATGCTAAGCAGCATGGACTCAGCATCGGTCCGCGTCCTCAAACCCCTTCCTGCGCCCCAGACTCCAGGCCGCCTGCAGGCCTCCCCCGTGATCCCATCAGTGCCTGTGGCTCCGAAGCTGGACCACCAGCGAATGGACACCATTCAGGAGGACCCCAGCACAGACTCACATGTGGATGAGGACGGCTTTGAGAAGGACCCCTTCCCGAATAGTGGCACAGCTGCCAAGTCGTTTGAGGATCTCACAGACCATCCAATCACCAGAAGTGAAAAGGCCACCTCCTTTAAACTGCAGCGTCAGAATCGTGTTGACAGCAAAGAAACCGAGTGCTAGTTTAGAGCTTCATATTCTAAGCTCTTTGACTTAAGTGTACGAAATATTTTTATAGATCTCACCTAAAATCACAGCGTATGTTTTGTGAAGATTTGGGAGAAATGAGGAAGTGACTTAACAGCAGATGCTGGTCATGTGTTTGAGCTTCCTGCATGTAAATATGTGTGCTTAGGCCCTTTTCCTTTTGAAGAGGTAAGGTGAATCTAGCTTATTTTGAGGCTTTCAGGTTTTACTTTTTGTGAATTTTAAAATATCCTTTGACCTGTGGTGCAAAAGCAGAAAATACAGGTGGATTAGGTTATAAATATTTACGTTTTTGTAAATTAACCTTATATATTGATAACAGCACTGATTAGAGAGATGATCAGTTTTACTTTTTTATACACTGTAATTGATCCGCTGAATATAATGAGGCATTTAGCAGTTATTTGTGAGGGCAACTGGAAAACAGAATAGATTCTTTTGCCTTCAGGTAGAGACAAAGGAGATAGACCTAGTTCTACATTGTCTCTAAAACATGGGTCTATTTTTCTGGTTATTACCCAGAGCTTTAATTATATATCTGAAGTTAGGAATCATTCGGGTTAATATGCTTCTTCATAATTCTGAGCCTAATACTTTCTAGAATTAAAGCAATCCAGCTTATGGTGAGGGTTACAAATAGTAGCCTGTTGCAGTTATGGAATCCCACCAGCTATTTAGGGCCCTGATGTGCTGGTAAGTTTTTCTATGGTTTATAAGTACCTTCATGTACCCCTGATACTGTTACCATGCTCTTGAAAAATTCACTGTCTACAAATCCTAAACTACTTCAAACTACACTTAGAGTATGGTTCCCTGTTTTCAAACACTAAAGAGAGTGAGATATTTCTTACTGAAGAACAGGCTGGGGCCTGTCCCTACAAGAACACATGCTTCAGAAACCCTTTTTATTGACCCACGAGTGGATATTTGAATTACTTCTTGCTTTAGTGATTCTGGATGCTCTGCATTTACCATGTGAAGGATAAAAATCATTAGCCTGAATTGTTTTCCATAAAATTAGTTAAAAGCTTTTTTCCCCTTAAGAACTGAAATGTCCTCACCAGCCAACACATTTTAACTGAGATAACTTGTAAACTTTGAGGGCAATTAACCAAACCTGTGACACATCATGCCTTTTTTCCCCCTCTAAGGACGTTTGTTACGCAGATACTTGTTACACTAATACTTGAACTTTGTACCTTATGGTATTTGCTATCTTTTTAACTAGTCACAATATTATATTTTAGTTACTTTCAGAATTTGATATGAGGTGAGTGGGGTGTGGGTGTATGTATGAGAGTGAAGCAGTTCTCAGCTGAATGTAAAAAAACCGTTTTTATAAAATTGTGACTTTTTAAAAAATAATTGTGTTACCTTGTTTGCCCTATATAGATTTAACAAGCTTCTCAGGGTGATCTGATAGCCATGGCATTTAACTTCCCTGAAAAAATATTTTTATTAATATTGGTGACAAATGTGTTTTTTGGTCCAGAGGCATGAGGACAGGTATAATCAAGCTTGAGGGAAAAAATACTCTTCCACTGATCTCCTTGGAGTCTTTATGCATTGGCAACTTCGAGTGCCGGGAGGTACCAGGCAGACTGGGGTTTCCCGTGCTTGACTAATGGTCTCCGTCTCCCAGCAGACTTAATTCAGGTTTTGCTTCTGCTACATCTCTCCAGTAAGGAAGCAGCAACGGTAGAGAAGAGACCTTCTTCTCTATCAAAGGCCAGAGATGTGAGAACACAAACTCATTTCCCTTTGGTGACAAATGTAGTCCATCTGATAAGTAGGGTGAGAAGTCCTATAAGGAAGGGAAAATTCAGGTAAGGTGTGATTTTCCAAATGCCATTGTGTGCTATTCTCCCAGCTGTGGTCCTGCAACAAAAAGGTCACCAGCCCCTTTCATTTCAGGCATCTGACCAGAATTGCCTGGGATGTGTTTCATTTCTACAGGTGCTCGACCCACAGAACCCTCCCTAGTGCTGCAGTACTACCTCCCTGTTACAGAAGTGAGCTTCTTCGCTCCACTGACCGTCCGAGCTGGGATGCCATTCTAGGTCTTTTGGATTATATGACATAGTTCTCAGGAAGAGGCTTAATGGGTGAACACAGACCATTAATGTAATCAGCAAAAAAACAAAAATTTGGTATTGAGAGCTCGAGAACCCAGTGAGTTATTGTTTTTGACTCTTAGTCTATGTATTATTAACCACTTTGGTACAAGCGTCAACTATAGTTGACGGCCACAGATGAACGCACATAGCTGAGTGTCGACTTTAGCTGACAGCCAAAAGCTTTTACTTTTATAGCTTTTATCTCTGCAGTTGCAGTGTGTACGTTCAGCTAATAAGTTGCTACGAATCTGTGACCTTTTAACAAGACCTTAGTAGGAGTTGTTATACTTATTTTCCTAAAGCTGCCTGTAAAGTAAAACAAGCTTTCAGTGCTTTAATCACTTTGGGACCTGCGTCAACTATAGTCGACAGCCACAGATGAACGTGCAACAGTGACTTTAGCCGACAGCCGTGATATGACTTTTCTAATTTTTCATTTATCAAAATAAAATTGTGAACGTTTAAAAATAACATAATGAAAACATATATGTTACCTATTCTGATATTTACATTACAAGTAAAGCTGCCTATAAAGTAAAACAAACTTTCAGTGCTTTTAAGCTTTCCTCATCACACACAAGCAAAACGGATTCGTTGTCAACACAGCACAAACTATCGGGTGGACTATGAGTACCGGCTGTGGGCAAGGTTTCGTGGCCAGTGAGCACGGTCACGAAGTGGTTAAAGCTGTCCTCATCACACAAGAGCAAAACTGATTCGTCGTCAATGCATAGCACAAACTATCGAGCGGGCTATGGGCAAGGTTTTGCAGCCAGTGGGCGTGGTACCGAAGTGGTTAAATTGGTAGGTTTTTAGTTGGAAACAACTTACATCCCAGCAATTATTGTTCTAGGCTGGATGGTACAAGAGTCCAGTCTCCCCAGTACTCTGAACTGAAGACTGTTTACACTTAGAGCCATTTCTCCCTTCCCCATCCCTATTAGAATCTGGTAGCCAATTAACTGTGTGACTTACAGACCAGGATTTCAGATTCCAGTAGCACTTCTCCCTAGGCCTTGGTTTTCTCATCTAGGCAGTTTTAGATTCTATGATCTCCATACCCTCCCAGTCCAAGAATCTTAAAGGACATGTGAGCATAACTAGCCCAATAGTTTACAGTTTTCTTTCTTCTAGTAGCACAACTTTTTCAGACCATCTCAGAAGGAATCTTAGAGCACTCAAGCTAAGGTCCCTCCTGAGCTGGGAATCCTAGAAGGTTTGAGTTTAGTCAAGGTTTCAGAGGAATATGGGAGGCACTGGGGTCAGTGACTTTCACAGGCACAGAGCTGGCACCAAAGCCAGGGCTCTTGGGACCTCCATAGATGACTGGTGACCTCAGTATCCACAGGGTAGTATGACTTTCTTACTGGTTACCATTGTCCCCATTACAGATGTATTAATATAAGCACATAAACATCAGAAATTACTAGGTCATTGGAAGGATTGGTATAGATTAAGATTTAGGGCAGTAGAAAAAGCACCTGATTTAGTGATTCCTGGCTGTTTTCTTTCTCCATTCCTTTGTCCAAGTAGCCAAAGCCAACAGCTGTGAGTAAACTGGACCTTCCTATCAGGCCCTCCCCTTCCCCTGAGTACTTCCAATGCCGTCAGTCCTGGCAAAGTCAGTCTGGCTCTCAGCAGAGCAATGAAATGGCCTTTTATGTGCTCTGCAGCATCAGCCCTTACTAAAGCGTGCAAGGTCGCTGAAAAAAGAAAAGGGACTAGTGCCTGCTTATACCTCTTCTGTGCTGTTCCTCAGTATTTATGTGGAACCTGCATTTAGTCATCACTTCTCGCACCCTAACCTCTGTCCACCACTGATCTGTTCTGTCACTTAGTCTTGTCTTTTTGAGACACTACAGTGATGGAATCACATAGTAACCTTTAGACACTGGCTTCTTTCCTTCGGTGAAATGCCTGACATTCATCCAAGTTGTTGTATCAACACTTCCATCTCTTTACAGCAGTATTCCCTTGGATGTACCAGTTTATCCATTCATCCACGGGAAGACTTCTGGGCTACTGCTAGCTTTGGGCAGTTAATGAATAATGCTGCTATTAACAGTTACATATAGATTTTATGTGAACCTAGTTTTCATTTCTCTAGGGCAAATACCCAGGAGTGGATTTCTGGGTCCTCTAAGTGTATAAGAAACTGTCCAGCTGTGTTCCCAGTGGCTGTACCATTCTGCATGGGGACCAGCTTTTTATACCTTTTATATTAGTAAATGTGCTTTCAGGCTTTAAAACAAAATAGTTAAAACTACATATCTCAAACTGAATTTTATTAGCTATGCTATATTCTACTTAACACTCATTGTTTTGCTGGTTAATAAAAGTTTTAACTTTCTCCGACTCTCTATATAAAATAACTTGGTCTGGATTTTTTTTTTTTTTGAGACAGTCTTGCTCTGTCACCCTGGCTAGAGTACAGTGGCATGATCACAGGTCACAGCAACCTCAAACTCCTGGGCTCAAGCAATCCTCTCGCCTCAGCCTCCCGAGTTGTTGGGACTACAGGCATGTGCCACTGTGCCTAGCTCATTTTTCTATTTTTAATAGAGATGGGGTCTCTTGTTCAGGCTGGTCTCAAATTCCTGGCCTCAAGCAATCCTCCCACCTCAACCTCCCAGAGTGCTAGGATTATAGGCATGAGCCACCCTGCCCAGCCCCAGATGTTTTTAAATATGAACCATTCACTACTCATTTATGCCACTAGATAGTAACTCCTAGCTAAGAAACTAGGCTGAATAAGCTACTGGGTTTCTGAGCTGTCTTCGAGTCTTCCATGCCTCTCCACCCCCAACCATTTTGTTTTCATTGGTGAAAGGGACAACGGTCTTAACTAAGCAGAGCCATTCTAGGAAAACCTGTACAGACATCTGGCTTGCTTCTGTGTGATCCCACTCTGAGAGGACTGAGCAAGTCACCGTACCTGGCTGTCCTTCTGCATCAGGGTCCACAGGTCAAGTACATCAGTCCCACAGTCTTGGGCCACTTGTAAACATGCATTGGCATATTCACCAACAACTGAGTTCAGGCGATTTAATTTGCAACCTATCAAAGAGAGGAAATCCCAGTGACAAATGATAACCCAAGTGCTGTTCCTTGTGTAAGTTCTACTGACCTAGACAATTTCAGAGTTTAAATTACCCCATTTGGGCCAGCCATGGGGGTCTGTGGAATTAGGTGATGGGTCTTTTAAGTTACATGTGCTGCTCTACTCAGCAGAGGCCTTACTTGTACCTGGGCTCTGAAGTCAGACTTCCTGGATTTGATTCCTGGTTCTGTCAGTGGCTATGTGATCCTGGACAAGTTACTTAACTCTGAGACTCAAATTCCTCATCAGTTAAGAGGGACCAATAACAGTTCCATAAAGGTGTGCTGTGCATAAGAAACATCTAGAATACTTACATGGGCCCAGAAATCTACCTGAAAATAATGCTAAATAGCTAACTCTGAGTCAGACCATGCTTTGAGAAACAGCTGTCCTATGCTGTAAAGCCATTCATTTGTCCTAGAACCACCTATTCTCCTTTAGTTCCAGGCAACTTAGAAAAATTCCCAAAGCACCTTTTCAATTTCAACCATTTAGATAGGCCCTTGAACAACACAGGTTTAAACCGTGAGGATCTGGCTTATATACGGATTTTTTTTTCCAACCAAAAAGGGAGATCAAAAATAACACTATTTGCAGGATGCAAGACCTGAGTATACAGAGGGCCAACCACAGAACTTGGTGTGTACAATTTTGGTACACTCGGGGGTCCTGGAACTAATGTCCCTGAGTACACTGAAGGCCAACTGTATGTTAGTATGAGAGAACTATTAGACTCGAGTTATATAATAGGGTCTTTATATGGAAGAAAACAAAAAGATTTTACCACTATACTTTTTCTCCAGATGCCAAATAGGCAGAAAAGGGAGGAATCTATATGGGCAGGGCAGAGAAAGGGCTGTCTCTCCTGGTCACCTACAGATGGAAACGGAAGAGCAAATGGCTGCAGGTGCCTCCCAATGTCGTGAAGTCAGGAAAAACGCCCCAAGGCGGAGGCACAAGTCAAGGGCTTGTCCAGCCCCTCAGTCGCAGCGCTGTAGAGTTCGCCTGACTCTTCCAACATGCTCACTGGGCCTCTCTGCGCAGTTCTCAGTGGGCTTCACGTGCAGCTTAGAGTTCCGTAACTACAAAGGCCAGCAGCGCCAGGCCAGCAGTTCCCTCCCAAACCATCCAAAGCCAGAATCCCTTTTCTATGTCAAAAGAGTCCTCAGGTATGATGTAATGGAAGCTGTACTTTTAACTTCAGTTGCAGAAGTTAAAAGTACAGGGGACCGTTACAGATATCCCCACCCCCTAAGCAGCTTAGGCCCATAGGCAGACACCATTGTCCTTTCAAAGTCCCCCTCTGAGCACTCCTGGCCAGAGTGATGAGACGGGCTCTGGCTCGTTTACCTTGCATGACGCACTCGGCCTCCCAGGCCGTTTCACAGAGAGGGGGTGGCGTGACAAGAATGACTCGGTTCTCCGGGACGTCCACAGACTTCAGGTACTGCACCATACTCTTCAAATTTGCAACATACTCATCCAGGGGGACGTGCTGCTTGGGATTCTCATCTGTTCAAGAGGAACTTGAATGCTTCAGCTCAAATGTGTATTTGTTATAAGTGACAACCATGAAGATGAATATACATTTGCAAATGCCTATTACGATGTCATTGTGGAACTGTTTAGCACCAAGGACACAAGGAGAAGATTTTCCTCTATTCTTGAATTAAAATGTACAGTCCTTCATAAAACTTTGGAGGCTCTGGCTAGGGGCATTTTAAGTACTCTTGTCTTCTCCTCTAGTGTCCAGATTGTTACTAATCAATTAGGCTGAATTTGTAAAGAAAAGAGCCCAGGCTATGGAGTGCTCAGGTTCTAACACTGGCTTTGTCACCGACTAGCCACATAACCTCAGATAAACTTAACCTTTTTGTACCTCAGTTTCTCCTTGGGAAAAGGGGGATGATAATAGGGTCTCCCTCCTAGGGTTGTTATGAAAATTATTAATAAATTAGCGAAGTGTGTAAAGCACTGAGCACAGGGCACCTCCCGCAAAGCAAGCACCCAGTAAACAAATGTCGGCTATCACTAACTACTGCATTTACCATGATCGCAAAGATCTACTACAGATAGATCTGCTCTCACATGAGTATCACTGGGGTCCTTGCAGACCCTTCGCAAACTGCATGTAAGTCATCTGATGAACTTCTTTCCATCCTTTCCGCATATAGACAGTTGTAAAAAATGAGATCACACTGAAGATATACTTTATATTCTTTTTTCCACATTAACATTATGAACATTTCTGTGTCCATATCTTAATAAAATGAAATTTAGTTTTAGGGTGACCATAATTGATGTTTCTCTTTCATTACTATACAGCATTCTACTATTATAAATAAGAAGGCACAGAAATCTCTGTCCACATATCTGGCTACATTACTGAGAATTTCCTTGGACTGAATTTCTAGATGCCAGAAGTCTCCTGATGCATGCTGTCAAATAGTTTTCCAGAAGGATTACAAGTTATTCTCCTGCCAGTACATTCCCATCTTATTCCACGCTTGTCAGCCATTAAGTATTATTGCTTAAAATTACTTCTCAATTTGAGAGTCTAAAAAAAAACTTCCTTGTTTTAATTTGCATTTTTCTTTTGGTAAGTGGAATTCACACTGAAAAATACACACTGGCCCTTAAATTTCTCCTTTTGTGAATTACCTGTTCCTGTCCTTTGCCCATTTTTCTACTAGAGTATTTTTCTCACTGATTCCTACATTAAAGATGTTACCCCCTTCTGTCTGCTGTATTTTTCAAATATTTTCCTTGACATGTCATTTTTCTTTATAGCTTCTTCTGACAGAAGCTATTTTATTTCTTAAGCCTGTTTTTCCTTTGTGACTTTCTCTATTCCTTTTATGCCTAGGTCTTGTCTTAAATTTGATAAAAGTTCACTTCAAAAAAAATTTTTTTTTGAGTTTTCTTATGGTTTTTGGTATAAATATAAAGAGAAGATTTACTTTGTTTTCTCCAAATAGTTTACAGCCTCTCTCCCAATACCTGTAGTTTACATAATCCTCCTTCTAGGCAGCAAGAATGGTTCGAATGCAGCTGGCAGTGTTCATCTCGGCCTCACCTGCGAGGTGCGAAACAACTAGGTGCACAGAAGGATCTCTGGAAGCTGACTACTCAACTTCCCAAAACAAAGGCTGATTTTTTCCCTTTCTACTATGCAGAGGGCTTTCCTTTAAAGAGTTGAAAGGGAAGAGAGAAAGGCCTCTTACTTGGCCAGTTCTGCTCTAGTCACAGCAATTTTTCAGCAAACAAGGAAGGACCAGCTTCCTTTTCCAAACCCATGTTTACCACCGCCCAGGATTCAAGCCTGACCCAGGCCAGGGTTAGTGCTGTCCTGAGATACGCCTCTCATCAGTGTGGTGCACACTGCAAGGTGTACAGCCTAGGCCTTCTGCTGCCAACCACGTCAATTAGAAAAACATGAAACTTAGCACAGCGCTAATGGACTCTAGAAAACAAGTGTTTGCAAGTTTAGGTCTGCCAACAACTGAGGCACACAGAAAATGAGTCAGGGATAAAATCCACCAACTTGTTAAAGCCAGAAAGAAATACATGTTAATATAAATAAACTTGGGGAATTCACAAGTTTGGCAAAACTTTATTGGGAGACTAACAGTTGAAAAAAGTATATATGTTTGCTGTAACATAAAAATGATTAAAAATAAGCTAGAAAAACAAAAATGCCTTTACCTTTTAGTGCACTGTCATTGGCACCAAAGAAAATTGTCACTGCTACTGGGTTGTCCAAACTGTTCCCTTTCCTGATTAATCTTGGAAGGATAATTTTAGCCCATCTGGTATTGTAACCTGAAAATCCACGATTCAGAACATCACATTTTCTGAAATGAAAGATGTTAAAAAGGTGAATTGTGGGTGAAGAATTGTTTACAGTCCTTGGTAGCCAACTTTTCAGTAGGGTGAGCTCTCTGGGCTTCTATTTTTTTTTTTTTTTTTTTTTGAGACAAGAGTCTCACTCTGTTGCCCAGGCTTAGAGTGAGTGCCACGGCATTAGCATAGCTCACAGCAACCTCAAACTCCTAGGCTCAAGCGATCCTACTGCCTCAGCCTCCCGAGTACCTGTGATTACAAAGCTCATGCCACCACACTTAGCTTAATTCTGTATTTTAAAATTTATTAATATTAGTGTAGGCATAAGGACAGTTGCAGAAAGGTATCTCCTAATCACTCTCAAACTTAGCAATTAGGTTAAATTAAAACACTGGGATCAGTTCAGGCCTATGCAAATGGCTAAAGCAGACATCCTAAAAAAGGCAGGTGCACTTCAATTGTCCTAGTCCTTTGGCCGTGAGTAGAGGATAACACCCCCAACGCCATCCAACACCCCAGCATCCTAGGACATGATACAGCTTACCATTGCCTCCCCGTTTCCCAGGGGGCTCTGCTACTGGAAGAACATTGGCTCAGTGTCCAAAGTGGACTCACTTTGAGTAAAGCATACGTATGAACATGTCACTGATCATTTAAATCACATCTACTGTAATAACTGAAAAAGAACCTGTCTTCTATAGATGGTGAATAGCTATGTGTTTTGGATCCAAAACCTCTAATACATTTTCCACAACTTTCTGTGTTTGATTTCATATAGTGGCAAAGTCCTTTTAGCTGAACCGTGAGTGCCTGCCCTTTTTCTGTTCCTCCTCCCATATATACACTGACTAGGAAAGGCAGGCAAAGATTAACAAAAGAGGAAGTTAGTGTTTAAACTATCACTCTTCCTGAGATGATATTTTCCATCAGTAAAGTACTCAAGTATCAATCTAGAAGCCATTCTCACCTGACTAGCTTGTCAGCCAGCGATGCTCCCCATCCACCCTGCTGAAAAGAAACCTGGAGAAAGAAAAGCCTATTATTACTACTTATCAATGTAATTAGAACATTTCAGTAGGGAAATATTGATGAGCAACTCCCCTTCTCTTTTCTTTGCACTCCCTGACTTCTTGGACTTCATTACTTGACTCATTTCAAAGAGAGGTCATTTTGGGGGATTACATGTATCCACACCTGGCAGCACTCTGGAAAGAAGGTGTATTTTTATTCTCTATCAAATAAAAGCAGCTTTAAGAAAATTTATGTATAAGAGATAAAAATCAACTATGTGTTCAGTTAGGAAATGAAGTTTGTACTATACCACCTCTCCATAGCAGAAAGAATAAGGAAATTCATGGCTTTATTAATAACAGAGCTTAAGGTGAACATTGATTATACATTCCCATGGAATATGGAATGCCCCTACTGCCCCAGATACCTAAAAATAATGTTACCAACTATTGGCACATACATAAAAAACTGGCTTAAAAAAGTCATGTCTGAGTGTTAGGAGGAAAAAAAAAAACACCACAGGAAAATTATGTCTACTTCCTCCCTGAAGTAAAATCTATTTGGAAGAATTTTTTCTTAATGGAAACTGAAAAATGATCTTGGATGAAAATACTACCTTTTTCTATTCTTGAAGGCATTTTCTTTTCTTTTCTTTTCTTTTTTTTTTGAGACAGAGTCTCGCTTTGTCGCCCAGGCTAGAGTGAGTGCCGTGGCATCAGCCTAGCTCACAGCAACCTCAAACTCCTGGGCTCAAGCAATCCTCCTGCCTCAGCCTCCCGACTAGCTGGGACTACAGGCATGCGCCACCCTGCCCGGCTAATTTTTTCTATATATATTAGTTGGCCAATTAATTTCTTTCTATTTATAGTAGAGACGGGTTTAGCTCTTACTCAGGCTGGTCTCGAACTCCTGAACTCAAGCAATCCACCTGCCTCGGGCCTCCAAGAGTGCTAGAATTATAGGCGTGAGCCACCGCGCCCGGCGGAAGGCATTCTATTTTCAAGATCAACCCTTGACCAGCATGGTGGCTCACACCTGTAATTTAACCCCAGCATTTTGGGGGGGTCAAGAAGGGAGGATCGCTTGAACCAAGGAGTTCAAGACCGACCTGGGCAACACAAGACAGTAAAACGCGCCAGCAAGTCCCAGTTACCGGAGCGGCTGAGACAAAGATGAACGCTTGAGTACGGGAGTTCAAGGCTTCAGTGAGCTATGACTGCGCCACAGCACCTCAGCCTGAGGGACAGAGCGTGACAGTCTTAAAAAAAAAAAGGCCTTTAATTGCTCAACCCGTTCCACCAGAAGAAGTGCAGAGGTGAACTGTTTCAAAGCACCTTCTGCACGGCACAGGCTGCATAAAAACCGTGGGAAGAGAATCAGCCGCCTCCGAGGTCTGTGCAGGTGACTCCTTAGCGGAAGTCTCCCGGGGGACACGACACACTGCTCGTGCCCAGAATCCACCGCCGAGGAAAACACTGAAAACAACGCACAATTTGTACCAGGTCATCCTAAACCCCCGTGAAGAGACGCAAACGGACAGCGCAGCAGAGCGCGGCAGCTTGGCTCTGCCCCCGCAGGGCGAGCCCCCTCACTCCCCGGGCCCCCCACTCCCCGGGCCCCTCACTCCCGGACCACCTCACTCCCGAACTCACTCCGGCCCCACTTCGGGCTCACTCCCGGCCCCCTCACTACCGGACCTCACTCCCGGCCCTCACTCCCGCGGGCCCTCACTCCCGGGCCCTCACACCCACCTCACCCCGGACCCCTCACTGCCGGGCCCTCACTCCGGGCTCACGCGCCAGCCGCTCACTCGGGCCCTCACTCCCGGGCCCATCACTCCCGGACTCACTCCGGACCCTCACTCCGACCTCTACTCGCCCTGCCTTCGCCCATCCCCGGGCCTCACTCCGGGCCCCTCACTGCCTCACTCACCGGCCCCTCACTCCCCGGACCCTCACTCCCCGGGCCCTCACTCCCGGGCCCTCACTTCCCGGGCCCCTCACTTCCGGGCCCTCACTCCCGGACCCCTCATCCCGGACCTCACTCCCCGGACCCCCTCACTCCCCGGGCCCCCTCACTTCCGGCCCCCTCACTTCCCGGCCCCCTCTCCCCCAGGGGCGGGTTCTCTGCACAGGACCGAATGCAGACGCGTGTGCCCCCGCGGAAGCGGCGGCGTCGCCCTCCACGACTTCACGCCCCCGAGGTCTCAGCCACCAGGGGGGAGACCCACCGCCAGGGTCCGCGAGGCACTGGGCGCGGCCGGGACCGCCGTTCCTCTGGGGTCCTCACGGGAGGCAGCGGGCCTCACAAGCCCGCCGCCGCCTCGGCCTCCGCGGGGGCACGGGAGGGACCCGGGACTGACGGAGACGCGGGGCCCAGCGCCGGCGCCAGAGGACCCCGCGGGTAGGCCCGAGGAGCCCGCGGGTGTGGCGGGCAGAGCGGCGCTGGGCAGCCGAGCGTCCGAAGCGGCGGTACCTGGGTGATGGAGTCTCCGAAGAGCAACACGCGAGGCCATACCAGAGAGCTCCCGCAGCCCACCGCCTCGCTCAGCGCCATAGTCCGGCCGGCGGAGAGGCGGGGCCAGGCTGGGTATCGGGGCGGGGGCGGGGCGAGCGGCCCGCCCGGAAGATGGCCGTGCGCATGCGCAGGTTGGTGCAGCCGGGTCGACCGTAGGTTCCCGGCACGGTGGCCAGTCAGTCATTTTGAAGACACGCGAAAGCTGTGGCCATTTGCAGACATCAATTTTGTCCGTTTACAAGAAACTCGGCCTACTGCACTCTTCCGCTCACGGCGAGTCTGCAGGAACGACCCGCGGCCGCCGGGCGAGGCCAGGCTGGGGCGAAGGCCTCGGGCCCCGCGCACCTGCTCTCCCCCTGGCCGGCAGCGCCGGGCAGTCCCGCGGAAGGAAACGACTCCCTCCTCCCCGAAGGAAGCGACTGGGCGTCGCCGTCACAGCCAACACCACACTGGGCCCGAGCGGGTTCAGAGGCGTGTCCGCACGCGGCAGTGGTGTGAAGCGAGGGGCCGGCAGGCGGTGCGGGCGGCCTCGGCGCGGCGCGGCGCGGGGCTGGGTCCAGGGTCCCCGACACTAAGTGGCGCAGTGTTCGCGTGTCACCTACCCACGGCCTCTCCTGTACTTTCGACCATCTCTGGGTTGATTATACTCCCGAATACAGCGTAAATGCGCCGTAAATAGTTCCTATACTGTATTTAGGGAATGATGACAGGAAACCCCACCTTTTCAGTACTGACACAAACAGCCAGTGTTTGGCTGCAGAGACCTGCCGATGCTGAGGGTCGACTTATTTACAAGGAATTCATCTGTTCAATGAAAGCTGGTCATTTATCGAACGTTTTTACCTCAATTGTGTGATGAAGTATGACGGCCGTGCTCAAAAAGGGTCAGAAGGATGTCTTGGAGCCACGGAGCTCTAGGGGAAAACCAGAAGCACCGGGGAGCGACGCCGCTCCGTGCAGCTGGCGTCACGCGTGACCGCAGCTCTAGGCTGGTGGTTCGTCGGCTGCAAGCTAGGGTTAGCCAGAGAGCGGTAAAAGCGTACTGCCCGGGACGCTCACCCCAGACCAGCTGACTCAACTTCTGCGGTGGGACTTGGGCATCAGTGCATTTGTAATGCGCCCAGGTGGTTGTCATGTGCAGCTCAGATTGGGAGCACCTGCTAGGGGCACGGTGCCTGGGCTTCATCCTAATCACGATGACAACGTCCTGTTGGACTTTAAGCAGTAGAGGCTTGAGGCCAGATCTGTTATTTCGGGAATCAGCTGTAGGGAGTGGGGATGGGAGGTTGTTGCAGGAATTCAGGGAGGGAAGAGTATGACTTGGGCTCAAACAGCAGCAGTGGAGATGAGACTCATATTCAAGAGGATTAGAATACTAAATCAAATTGGTAACCTTAAGGTAAAAAACACTTTCCCTTCTTGCTGTATATATCATATATTGTATTTTTGCAACTTGAAAATGTTTCAGAATCAATCATAATAAAATATTATGACTTTAACCCCTAGGCATTTAGTATGAGCCAAAGAGAACATAACTATGCATAACTATGCTATCTCACAGAAATAAATGCATTTCAAGTAACAGAGTCAGATTTACACTGAAGATTGTCATCAGAGTTCAGGGGAGTAGTCAACAGTTGTAAGTCACTATAAGTGGTGAGGCAAAATGAGGATGAAATCGTGTCAGTGGAGTTTAGTGACTGTGGACAACCAATGACTTTAGGTTGACAGTGAGCACAGGCAACTCTGAAGTCGGGCTCTGAATGGGAGGAGGAGCAGTGTGCCTGTTCCTTTCCTCTGGAGAGGTGACAAGCAGGCCATTTTCATTGAAGTAGATGTCAAAGAAGCCCCTGGTAGAGTGGGCTGCTCACTCAGCACCAGACACTCCTGTGTCCAGTTACTTGCAAGTCTGAATTACATGTACATGGCCTAATGGCTTACATATGAAACACACAAATGACACCTGAATACCCATAAATTGAGTCATAAAAATTATACTCTGGCTAGCCTGAACTAATGAATTTAGCAAGAGTGTCCGGAGGAAAGAATCAGAAAGGTGCTTAATACTTTTAAGTGATAATCCCTGTTCATTTAAATTCGGAATATGGAAAGTATACACCACTGTATTTTCTTTCCTTAATAAGTACAGTAAGACAAATTCTGCTTCAGTTGCTATGAGCAATTCTTAAAAGTTTCAGTGGGAGTTGCATACATGCCTGGAAGCAGAATCAATACATTCTAAAATAAAGGGCAGTTTAATAGTTAGTTCTAGACCAATGGACAAATTGGTAATTTAGCAGTATTCAGACTGTTGGACTCAAGACCACCTGACGTCAAAAGTAAATAGGCAACCCCAGAGAAACTAACATTTTATTTGAAATAGCAGAAGTAGAGTCAAGTATTTTAAAAAAGTTTTAACATATATAGATAAAAAGTTATCAATGAACTGGTGTAAGGGCCTCATACAGTCTCTGTGCAGCCAGTTCCACCATTTCTCGGAGAGATTCATCATCTTCACTTCCTTCTTCACATTCTACAGTCTGAAAGTGAAAGCATAAACATGCCTTTAATTATTATAGCTGCCTATAATTATTACATGGAAGATAAATGAATACTCTTTAAGAACAATCATCTGTACCGGTGGAGGTCACCGTGGATTACCAAGAAGCAGAGCTGCTGCGCCACATACCTGTGAGCACGCAGCTGGGTGCCACGTGCTTCCTGCAGCACAATGACTGAGTCTAACTGGCGATGAATTTTGGACGGAAAAGAAAAAGACTGGGGAAAAGTCTAGTAAACTACATTTACTTCAAAGCCCATATTTTGATCCAGTCAATGATATTCCAAGGAAGTTAGTGCAACACAAATTACTTAGCAAAATATGGATGTGGTCATTTACTCAATATTTGGTATTAAATTTATCGACATAATAGTTGCACAAATTTTTAGGATACACTTGGTGTTCGATTTTATTTAAACTCACAAATAATCTTCTAGTTACTTCTTAATTACATTTACAAAAGACTATATGCTGTTTAAAAAATATATATATATACACACATATTATAGAGACAGGGCCTTGCTCTGTTGCTCAGGCTAGAGTGCAGTGGCACAACCATAGCTAACTGCAGCCTTGAACTCCTGCACTCAAGCGATCCTTCTGCCTCAGTCTCCTGAGTAGCTGGACTACAGGCATGTGCCATCACACCTTGCTTTTATTTTTCTTTGTAGAGATGGAGTCTCCCTATGTCTTGAATTCCTGGCCTCAAGGGATCCTCCCACCTCGGCCTCCCAAAGCTGGGAATACATGAGCCACTGCACCTGGTAATTTTTTATCATACCATAACTATTCTCCATAAAAAAATTTAGGAAGGAAAGAAACCTTTAAGTCTATGATCTAATGATAACTACTGTTAACATTTTAGTGTCTAACCTTCTAGACTTTGTTACACATATATATATTTTAAAAACAAAATGGGATATTTATCATATATGCTCTTATAACTTTTTTCACTCAACAATGTATGGTGGACAACTTTGCACATTAATAAATCTGTATTATTCTTTTAAGTGATTGAATAGTTTTATCTGAAAATTACATACTTTGTATTTATTTAAACCTATGAAGAAAAAAATTGAGATGTCAACTTAAAAAGTGTGAATAGGTAAATTTTTTTTTTCTCACCCCTCACCCACCCCCTCGGTAAATGTTTTTTTTTTAAGATCCTTTAAGAGGTGCTCAACCAGGAAGGCTGGGAGGCCACAGTCGTGAATGACCTCCAGGAGCCCATCTGTGTGGCCTCTGACTGTATCAGAATCACTGCAGACAAGAGTCAAGCCCAGTGGAAGGGCGTCCAGTCTCTGTTTCCTCCTGTGGCCCAGCCGTGGTGACGGTCCTCAGGAAGAGAAAGCTCTGAAATGAGGGCTCAGCTGAATTCTCCAGAATCTTCCCTGGAATTGGGTCCAAGAATGCAGCCTCTTGGGACTGCTCTGAAAAGAAGTGAGAATCTCACTTGGTGCGGCATGTGCATTCATGAGGTGTTCCCGTGAAATCTGGCAAGTCCCTGCCTACCAGCCAAGGAGCCACAGAGGAAGGGACAGCTCGCAAGGGACCACAACTTGGACAACTGCCAACACCCCTTCTGCAGCCAGCCGGCCACGTAAAAGATGAGAAGCTGCCTGAGCTGCCAGTTTGTTCCCTATTTGCCTCCGATGCATCTGCTCTGTCTTCCCTGGGTGGGGGCGCCTTTCCCAGTCCTAGAACTGTGACTCTTCCCATTTGTCCCTCTCCTAATAAACTGGGAGCTGGGAGGTTTGTCCTGGTGAGATTTTGCTTATGAGAAGCAAGGTTGGACTTTTTTTCAAATCTTTCCGCTTACGGGGTGTTGCCTTTCTGTTCTGTTTTGTTTCAAGTAATGCCCAACCCAGCCCCTCCACAGCCATCACTCAGACCTGTATCCACTTAATCACTTCCTTTATGCACATGTGCTAAGGCGCACGCTGTTTTGTGCCTTGAAGCTAGGTTACTTTAACAGGATCTCAAATGTTTCCTATTTCTTTACCTTAACCAGAAGACACTGCTGTGTCATTTTCTTGTTTCAGTTGCATGTGCACTTGCTGTCCAAATTTTTGCTGACTGCAAAATCTCACTATGAACAGAGGAACTTTGCCATGGCCATGTAGAAGCCATGTGGGCTGGAGCACCTGGCTGAGACAGTCCCCTGTGTGTCCACCACAGCTGTGGGCACTGGCAGGCTATGGCTGTCTCACCTGTGCTCTCAGTTCAGGTGCGGAGAATTCTGCTGCAAGCAGAGAATCACCCATTTCCGTGGAGCAGACATTTCCATGTTAGCTGCAGATGACACGGCTAACTTCCACTAAGTCTCCAGCCAGAAACATTTGCGGAAGATTCAGGACAAGCTCCACAGAATGAAAACAGCATTCCAGTAACTGAGCCCGAGGTCTGGGCATGTTATTCCGAATCTGGAGGGAGGAGGGCCCCCACCCCAGGGCCTCATGTGTGCCGCTCAGGGCCGAAAATTCTTCCACCATAGCCTAAGTGGCTGAGTTTTCCCCACTTTACCATCAGGAGGTGGAGGTTCAGAGGGGCTCACAAAAGCATGTGCAGCAGGCGCAGCAGAGCTGGTCCAGTAGATGGAGCCGGGATCTGTGTAAAAGTCTTGTCTCTGCACCAGGTGTCTGCCGCTAGCCTGCCAGCAGGTATGCTGGCAAGCCACAAGCTCCTCCAGGACAAGCCTGAGTGCATGGCCAGCCGCCCCTGCCTTTTCATGCCACCAGGTGTCCCTGCCATCGTCACCCTTGATGACCATATATACAGCATTCTTAGTGTAAGGATGCGCCATATACATTACACATTCAGTTATTTATCTCTTATTCCTGGATATATATCTTTGCTCACTTGTCTGATTATTTTCTTTGGTTGAATCCAGTAAGTGGAATTGTGAAAAAGGGCCTTGCTTTTTTAAGCCTTGACCACATCACCAAACTGCCTTGCAGAAAGAAAGTGCTGCTCAATTTACACTCCCCTTCCCCCAGTAGCATGAGAAAGTAACTATTCCCTATCTTCCACCGTCACTGGGTCCCAACACTCTCTTTAATCTGTGCCAGTATGATAAGCAGTGATATTTCATACTTTAAATCTGTATGTCCGGCTGGGCATGGTGGCTCACGCCTGTAATCCTAGCACTCTGGGAGGCCGAGGCGGGTGGACTGCTCGAGGTCAGGAGTTTGAAACCAGCCTGAGCAAGAGCGAGACCCCGTCTCTACAATAAATAGAAATAAATTAATTGGCCGACTAATATATATAGAAAAAATTGGCCAGGCACGGTGGCGCATGCCTGTAGTCCCAGCCACTTGGGAGGCTGAGGCAGGAGGACTGCTTGAGCCCAGGAGTTTGAGGTTGCTGTGAGCTAGGCTGACACCACAGCACTCACTCTAGCCTGGGCAACAAAGCGAGACTCTGTCTCAAAAAAAATAAAATCTGTATGTCCTCCAGCTGTTAGTGGATCTGAGTATTTGTTTTATGTTTATTGGCTATCTATATTTCTTCCGTGGTGAATTACTTGTTCATGTTCTTAGCTTATTTTTCTACTGAGGTATAATAAATCTAATGTGTTTTCTCAAAGCACCTATATAGTCAAAAATCATACAAAAGAAATTTAAAACATAAGTTATTTGTTTAGAACTACTGTAATCTTCAAAAACAACCCTGCAAGGAAGATACGCTCATTCATGCATCTTGTGAAATAATTTCAAAAGATATGCTGGTGTGAGACCAGAGCAGACCCCACTCTCAAACCCTATTGTTGGAAAAGCCACTTGGATCTTGCTGGTGCAAATAGAAAAGCAGCTTCTCTGAAATATCTAGAACCAGCTGAATGCCAAACTAGGGAAATGCTGAGGGGATTTCAGGTAAATTCAGGTGTATGGAAAAGGAAAATAATGGAATAATATACATGGGAACCATGTACTATGTAGCAACCTGGGAAAACACAGAAAACTTTATACATAATAATATAGATACAACTATGTAAAAAAAAAGTAAGCAACACCAAAATAAGGAAATACCAAAATATAAAAGTAAGTTGTTAGGTGTGGGATCATAGCTTTTGTCTTCACTTTATTTCCCAAATGTGTTTAGATGCTGGAAGGAGCAGGCACCTACCCGTGTCTCCAAGTTAAGGTTAGCAGTTTTTCCATCCACTGTGACACTAAGAACAGAGCCGTCTTTTACACTTACACAGTCTTCTCCAAATATGTCCCTTAAAATAAACAAAGATGCAATATTAGTGGAGAAGTCCAGCTTTACATATTTGGGGAAAAATAAAATTGAAGAGAAGTCTTAGTTCTAAAGTAGAATACTTGTATTTATACCTGAGATCTATTTCTTCTTATTTACCTTGATATAGCTTGTTAATTTTATAAAACATCTAAATTACACAGCTATCATTTCTTAAGAATGCGCTATTCAGAGGCATTGTTCTAGGCACTTTATATACATTATCTTTACCTATAATAGTTTTGTAATATTGTAATTGTAATATCTTTTACACATGAAGAAAAGAAACAGAGAAGCAATTTGCTTAAAGCCTCATGGCTCGTAAGCAGCTGAGCTGGTACTCTAATCCAAGTATTTAGGTTTAACTGCTCCAAAGTCCACTAGCTGTCCACTCCTTTTCGTCCCTTCAAATGCCTACTCTGAGTTACTTAAACTCAGTATTTATTGAGCATCTTCCACATGCCAGGTGCTGTGCCAGGTGCTAGGATACAGAAATTACTGACATTGTCTCTATCATCGAGGACCTACAGTTTAATCATTAATTTCAACATTGTCCTGATTACAGAAGTGTTAGAAAACAGCAGTCCAACCAGCAGGCTGGGTGTAGTTAAGAAAAGGTAGTCAGTGAATCTAAAAAACCCACAAAGACAATGGTCATCCTTGGTCAGTTAAGCACTGACAGTAGTGCATAAAAGCTGGATGCTGATGATCAACCACTTGCTCTTTGAGACAGTTAATGTTAATAATATGTTTGAATAAACTTGGCTAAGTAACCTATTACTAAAAAAAATAGTCTATTTTAAATACAGAAATATATTCGAAAGGATAGGGAAAAAAGGTTTCATATCCATGTGATCAATTGTTGGCACCTAAAGAAACCAATACCTTTATTTCATACAATCCTAAGTATTTAAACAATTATGAAGATAAAGCTATCTTTACAAGGTAGCTTTAAACTTAGAAGTTTAAAGACACTGGTATCTCACATTCTTGAGGTGAATGTAAGCTGTGGCTCTTTGTCTCATAGTCCTGTTCCTAACAGTTGAATAGTTCAAGGGTGTTTGTGGGAGGGGTGGAGGAGTGGCATGACAGGACTGGGGAAGAAAGCCAGAGTGGAAAGTGAAGCAGAAGAGCTGGCAGCCTCCTGCAGACTGCCCTCCGCATACCTGAACACAGCAGCTGTGGCAGTATGTTCCTCTATTCTGCACCTCCAACTGCTGTACCTGGGAGAGCTGTGGCATTCCAGGGCACCACAGGTTTTCTATTTTTGCAAAGCCTCTGGGAACAGAGCTGCCAACAGCACAACTGTTCCAGTTACATCCTTAGTCAGGCAGAGGAGAGCACCAATACCCACCTTCTACAACAGGGCTCTTTAACAGGGTGCCAGGAGGGGCTCTGGGCAGGGGGTTGTATAACCTCCTTGAAATCAAAGCTAAAATTGCACTTGTGTGTATGCCTCCTGCCTGGGAGAAGTTCCACAGCCTTACCTGATTGTCAAAGGGGTCAGTGATCTAAAAATGATTAAGACATTTAGACTCTAAGGCTGGCAGAATAAAGCCCTCTGCAAAAATAGTAAGAGAACCAGAGGCTACCACAGTCACAGGGTTGGGACCCAACCAACTCTGTGGCCTTTTCAGTGGCAATAGAAATCACTGTTCCTGCACTGTTAGCTGGCTTTGCATAACAAAGATGCTTTTAAAAATCAAATGACAACACCCTGAACACTTTTTTGAAGATGTGTGACAGCTTATTTTAGCAAAGTCACCATTTAAACCATATCATCTATTTTTAAAAAAGCCACTAAATGGCTACTTTAAAAAAGATTATCAGTGTAGAATTTTGGGGAAAGGAAGAAAGAGAAATGTTAACATACATCCCTTCCAAACTTAAAGAACACCTTATTTTATTAATATGTCTAATTGAGTAACTTTAAGTTTAAAAACAGAATCAGGCCGGGTGTGGTGGCTCACGCCTGTAATCCTAGCACTCTGGAAGGCCAAGGTGGGTAGATCGTTTGAGCTCAGGAGTTTGAAACCAACCTGAACAAGAGCGAGATCCCGTCTCTACTATAAATAGAAAGAAATTAATTGGCCAACTAATATATATAGAAAAAATTAGCCAGGCATGGTGGCGCATGCCTGTAGTCCCAACTACTCGGGAGGCTGAGGCAGGAGGATCGCTTGAGCCCAGGAGCTTGAGGTTGCTGTGAGCTAGGCTGATGCCATGGCACTCACTCTAGCCTGGGCAACAAAGTGAGACTCTGTCTCGAAAAAGAAAACAACAAAAAAATAGAATCAGTCATTTATTCAACAAGTATCTGAGAAATTGCTATGTACAAGGCACTGTGCTAGACACTGAAATTATAAATCTATTAATAAATACAAATCTTTTAATTTTTACTTTCTCAGTGTAATATATAAGTTTAAATTGTAGCTGTCCACTATGAGATATCCACTATCCACGTGATTATCTTATTTGGAGAAACATTCAGAAATCAGGCTTAAAGAGTATCTGCAGAAAGGTAAAAGACCTACTCTCTGGTGCTTAGAAAAATACTAACTTTAAAGGAAATTCAAAGTTTACAGGTCTACTATCTGGGAAGCGTCTAAGAAACCATTCTTAACAAAGAATTTACATTTAAGAAGTAAATATATAAAATAATTCTTAAAGGCACAGTAACATTTGGCTAAGATTTCAGTACATGTCTTTGATGATAATGTTTTCATCTTTGAGGACTACGCTTGTCCTGTGAGAACATTCTGAGGCAATATATTAAAGGAAACATAAATGGCTGACCACGCATGTCACAAGTACTTGGACCTAGATGGAGTGTTGAGCTGGAAGGGAGCAGTTCAAACTGTTGTTTGTCCTGATGGAGAAGCAGGCCTGGGGGCCGTGGGGTGGCCTAGTCTGAGCCACACTGAGTCTTTAAGTGAGTCCAGCCGAATCCAGGGCTCCTCCTCCCCATCCTCACTACCTTGCTAAGCAATAATGGGAGAAGGACTTACTGGAGCATGATCTCCAATCTCTTGCTATAAACGTGCATTTCTAATTTTTTAGAAACCTTTTGTACTGCACCTGGGGGAAAAAAAGAGTGACAGAGTTCAATTACAAAATTCCTATTTAGAATGATTTCCAAATTAATAATCAGAACATGGTTACTGATAAACCAAAGTGATTAACTATGGAATCCTTAAAGTGACAAGTATGTGTACGGATCATCTACCTGCTAAGCCAAATTGATTTTTCATCACTTTATTTCATGTTCTTACTAAAGAATCACAAAATGACATTTAATATTATTTTTAACTTTCAACTTTATTTTCAATGTTTCTCAAACTTTACATTTATAACCAGAGGTGAATAAAATTATAACTCCAGGTATTCTAGAGGTATATCTGAGCTCAAAGATATCTCAAATCTTTTGTTTTACCTAAAATGTTATATAAATTTGGCATTCTACTATATATAACATACCTATAATAATTTTTAATAAAAATTAACATTTAAAATCATTTGCCCATTAAATAAGTTAGCTTTTCCCCCAAAACAAAATAATGGGACAGTTCAGGAAGATGAGCCCTCCTTAATTTGGAGTTTCTAGTATGTTCTGGTGCATCATTAAATACCTCCCAGTCCATCACTAGCAGCAAAATAGTGCAGAATTCACTGTCTGGCAGTTCCTCAAAAAGTTAAACAGAGTTAATATTTGACTCAGTAATTCTACTTCTATGTATAGATCGAAGAGAAATGAAATATATATCTGCACAAAAATATATATAAGTATCTATAGCAGCATTATTCATAATAGCCAAAAAGCAGAAACAACCCAAATATCTATCACCTGAAGGCTGGATGAACAAAATATGTTATAGCCATATAAGGGGAAATTATTTGGCCATAAAAAGGAATGAAGTACTGATTTATGCTACAAAATGATGAACCTTGAACACATTATGCTTAGTGAAGGAAGCCAGTCACAAAAGAACACATATTGTATGATTCCATTTATATGAACTATCCAGAATAGGCAAATCCATAGAGACAGAAAGGTTAGTGGCTGCTTTGAGTTGAGGGTAATACAGGGATTGGAGGATCATAACTAAAGGACACAGGGTTTCTTTTTGGAGTGATATAAATGTTCTACAATTGCTGGGTGCTGGGCTCACACCTGTAATCCTAGCACTCTCGGAGGCTAGGCGGGTGGATTGCTCAAGGTCAGAGTTCAAACCAGCCCTGAGCAAGAGGAGACCCCGTCTGTACTATAAATACAAGAACTAATTGGCTAACTAATATATATAGAAAAATTAGCCAGGCATGGTGGTGCATGCCTGTAGTCCCAGCTCTCGGGAGCTGAGCAGAAGGATCGCTTTGAGCCCAGGAGTTTGAGGTGCTGTTGAGCTAGGCTGATGCCATGGCAGTACTCTAGCCAGGGCAACAAAGTGAGACTCTGTCTCAAAAAAAAAAAAAAAAATCTTCTAAAGTTGATGGTGGTGATGGTTGCACAACTCTGAATATACTAAAAATCAATGAATTGTACACTTTAAATGGGTAAACTGCATGGTATCAATAAAGCTGTTACAAAAAAATAGTGCAAAATTTTATAATCCTTTAGACAAAATATACACACATATACAATATCATGGAGGAAAATGTATGTATGTACATATCATGTAGGAAAATGCTAGAAATAATTTTATGGCCTCACGTATAAACAGGTAAATACGATTTTGTCATTTTAAAGACACTTCAACTTGTTTTCAATTTCTCAGCCCAGAAAATTACTTTATCATACAATATTACTGAATATATTGATATAAGTGTAGCTTTGTTAACTGACCTCAATAGTCGCACATATATATTTAAATTTACTCTATGGAAGAGTCAAAGTGTCATTTCTCCTAAACTATTCTATATTTCAGATCATAGATCATCTACCTGTTTTTAATTCGTGAATTTCAATTGTATATACAACTATCCAGATGATAGCCAAGCTATATAATAAAACCTTTATACTTTAATTATAATTATGAATTCTATTACTAAGTTTAAAATAAGCTCTTAACTGACATGTAAAAACAATCTCATAAAATATATTAAAAAATAAATAAGCTATGAAATTGTCTATTAAAAGAAACTTTCCAAAGTGTGTGTATATATTTGCATATTCCTCACTAATATTTAGGTGAACTCCTCAGACACATAGGAATATACTAAATAGGAAATTACAAAATCAGACACGTGTACCTGTCCTTAATAGTTCTGTGCGTCAAAACAGGACACAGACAAGCTGAAAAACAGGTACAGCATAAGATGGAAGAATGTGACAGAATACAAGAACATAAAAGAATACATTTTGAAAATGTATAAGCTTTCTTATATGTCTTTGGTAAGAATGGGGGACATAAATTGAAGTTGGTGGTAAAGCACACACGCACACACACACGAGATGCATTTTTAGAATCTAGACTGAATAATAGCCAGGGGGCTAAGAAATGAAAAGGGAGAAAGTTACTATCAAAGAAGAATCATATTGTTTCACAGAAAGGGCCTCTAGTTCACAAACTTTTTGTAAATAGCCAGATGGGGTTTTAGGCTTTGAGGACTACATAGTCTCTTTTCCAACTACTTAACTCTGTTGTTGTAGCATGAAAGCAGCATTAGATGACAGGTTAGTCCTTGTGTTGCTTTTCATCTTCGAATGGAGCAAGTATTACTTACTAAAACCTCTGTCCCTTAGCCCCATGGGTGTCAACTTTCTATGTTAACATATCACATACACACATTGGATCATTGTCTTAATCTTTAAAATTCATTCTGCCTGTTCTCTTTTTCTCATTCCCTATAGCTAATCCATCAAGAAATACTGCTGGGTTTCCTTCAGAGTATCTCCAGACTCCAACCACTTTCTGCTACCCCCACTGCTGACACCCTTATCTGAACCACTATCTCCTACCTGGATGACTGAGAAAGCTCCAACTGGAACCTCTGCTTTCTTTCACTCTCCTAACAGTCTACTCTCTGCAAGCATCAGAGCAATCCTTCTTTTCTTTTTTTTAGACAGAGTTCACTCGCTCCTAGGCCAGAGTGCCATGGTGTCAGCCAGCTCACAGCAACCTCAAACTCTCAGCCTCCCAGGTAGCTGGGCTACAGGCATGCGCCACCACGCTCAGCATAATATATATACATACATACATACATATAATGTTGTGTGTAGTAATACATACATACATATATATATATAATATAATAAATATATACTATTAATTAGTGCCCACTAATTCTTTTCCATTTTTATAGAGATGGTTTTGCTCTTGTTCAGGCCTGGTCTTGAACTCCTGAGCTCAAACGATCAACCACTGACCCAGCCTCACAGAGTGCGAAGGATTACAGGTGTGAGCCACTGCGCCCGGCCAGAGTAATCCTTTAAAAATTTATCAGATCATGTCTGGCCCCTGCTCAAAACTCTTAATGTAGCCCATTTCACCCAGATTAAAAGTCAAAGTCCTTACAATGCCAACCAGGCCCCACAGGATCTGCCCCAACTCCAAACTCCTGTAAGCAGCTCTAGGACACACCAGAAGTCAGCTCCTGGAGGGCAGGAATTTGTTTGCTGTTAACACAGCCTAAGCATCTAGAATACGTCTGCCAAGTAGCAGGTTCTCATTAAATATTTGTCAATAACTATCAAATGAAAGAATGCATGCATGTCTCATTGGAGAAGAATATAAAATCTCATTCTCCATAAACTACAAAATGGGGAAAGAAGTAGGGAATAAAAGGCAACCAGCTGTTTAACAGATGCTTAATATAAGGAACGCATGGAAAAGCCTGTTTTCAACTGCTGAAAGCCCAGAGGCTTAACCAAATGAACAAAGTTTCATTATTAGTGAAATGGATCATTAATACATATAGTAACATTATATTTTATTCAATTACTACAATCAGAAGTAAAGTCATTTCACTTTGGACTAGAGACTAAGAAAAATACTCAAGATAGTCAAGCCAGTCTATGATAGCTCATGTACTCCTTCCTGCATAACACAGACATAAAAATTTGGTGATTATCTGTTAAATGGTGTACTTTTTTGTTTTCAGCATCATGATTAGGCAAGCCTTCACCAGAACAACAGATGACATTTGATACAACCGCTCTGTATCATCCTCCTCTAATAATTATGGAAAGGGCAGGAAGAGCTCAGATACTAAATGTCATTAAAGACTACAAACACTTAATTGCCCAAAAATAACGCTTTTGCACAGAAATTCATTTTTTCAGAAAGTATACAAATTCTGGTTAGTTGATTGTACAAAAATACTTCATTTATAAAAGGGTTATCAGAATATATAATACAGAAAGCAAAGTTGGTGGCTAAAATACAATTCAATTCAGGTGCATTTGATTTGAACTGAACAAAGATATGAAGCGAAACCCAGCTAGTTTTGGAGGGCAGGGTGGTGCTTGAGCTGAAAACTGTGGGGCCAAAACCCTCGTTTAATCTTTTCATTTCTGCTCTCTGCGCCAAACCCTTGGCGTCACTTCACTGTAACTAACTTCTGCACCACTATTTACTTATGACCTTTAAAAGTCCTCCTTCCCACTAACTCCCACCCACACATCCTTTATTTTACCACCTAAGATAAAAAAAGCACTGGTGTTTCTTTGGCTTGAAATTGTTCCCAGTAGGGAAATTCTATTTTATTCAACCCAATTTTATTAAAACAAGATATAGCAGCGACTTCCTAACAGACATGTTGATCAATTCACCAGTATTTTGGAATTTCTGATTAAAGTGTTTAACAACCAGCATGCTGTAGGACTGCTTCTAAAGTGATTTTTATCTTGTGTAACTGCAACCAGATTTTACCGTATGAAGGCAGAAGCTAGACAAAAAGTAAGTAAAATACAATATATGCATTGCTATCATAATATCTTAAAAATTAATAGAATGAAAATCAGGAGATTAAATTCTTTAGGATTCTATTTACTGCTTTTCTTCATGGAACAGGGTGGGCAAATAAAAGGAATTAATTGATAAAATGAAATAATTCTGTACCTTTCCTTATTTTGATTTGACTGAACTTCCAATATCCAGTTGTTACTGTATCTGCATACATATCATTAGAAGGTTTGCCACCAGGAAGCAAAAGGCAGAATTAGGAAGGTACAACTATGGTCAACCACAAAAGCTATGAATCACCACCCATTCATGGACTATAAATAAGGATCACTGCTTTCTAGCATTTCACTGAAATTAACTTACTCATTGTTTACTGAAAATAATGATGTTACACTGTTTCTTCTTTATAACAAAGTAAAATGTACTAATAATTCCTTTTGGCATAGTGTTTTATACATTATCATTTAATTCTCATAAAAACTTAACTTATTTATAAAAGAGAAACTGACTCAAAAACTTGCACAAGATAATTGCTGGTGCTGGGATTTAAACGTCAAATTCCTAAACACTATATTTAGTAGCATAGACAGTATAGTAGAGCTAAATATTTTTAAAAATTTACTTTTGCTTCACACACTAAGTCTAACATCTTCTCATCTTGTGTCAGTGTTTCAACAAAGTTTTCCATGTCTCCAGTTAGGGTGAGAGCAGTTGAATTATTCAGGAATGAATGCATCCTATGTTTTATTATCCTGCAAAAGTACTTTTATAAGCAACATGATGCACTTCAACTTTTTATATGGTCTCTCTGACATGTTAACTCTAGGACAAAAGTATATTCTCTAATGGTATTCGGTAGCAAGAGCTAAATAATATCCTAATAACTTCTCCCTTTTTTTTTTTTTTTTGAGACAGAGCTCACTTTGTTGTCCAGGATAGAGTGAGTGCCGTGCGTCAGCCTAGCTCACAGCAACCTCAAACCCTGGCTTGAGTGATCCTTCTGCCTCAGCCCCCGAGTAGCTGGGACTACAGGCATGCGCCACCATGCCGCTATTTTTATATATATATCAGCTTGGCAATTTAATTTCTTTCATTTATAGTAGAGACGGGGTCTCGCTCTTGCTCAGCTGGTTTGACCCCTGACCTCGAGCAATCGCCCGCCTCGCCTCCCAAGAGCTAGATTACAGGCGTGAGCCACAGCGCCCGGCCAATTCTCCCTTTTATAACATTTTATATATTATGTATGTAACTCTATGTTATAGAAACTACTCCTTTTGACACGTTCTTTAGCTGTTTTAGCCTTGAATCAAATTTAGACTTAAATCACAGAATTATAGTGGACCAGAGCTGACAGATCTTTTCCTATTTGTTTTAAAAAATACAAATAAAATACTTAACCATATACTTGGAAATTTACATAGAATTCTACTTGAGGCAGAAAACAGACAAGGTGCTCTCCTGGATTATTCACTGCCAAGACTCACTTTAAAAGTCTTCTCTTACACTTAACAGGTGCCATCTATGAAAGTCAACCCTATAGATCCTTTGATGTGTTTTCCAAACTCTATCAGTAGGATTTAATTCTTATAGTAGGAACCACATTTACTAATTTGATGATTTCTAGCCTTTTTGGATTTGAGTCACTTTATTACTATTTACTTGAATCTTCAAATCCACTCTTTAAGGAGTGCTACATGATAAATTTGTTTTAATATGACAGAATTAATTTTTATCTGATAATTCTAAGATTTTTCATATAACCAAAGACATCCTGGAGTACCACAAAATCAGTTGAGCCTTACTCATATGAGACCTATACTTATCACACCTACTGAATATGAAGGCTTAACTTATTATAGTTTCTGTGTTGTTATAACTACATAGAAATGCCCAGCTATGTTATATTTAATATTGATCTTAGAAAGAAAAATTATTCACATATATATTTCCAACAATGTTTTTCCTAATTGAAGAAATGAATGTTCTCTAGAATTGCGCATAAACTCTTTTAAAACTTTTCTCTGCTTTGTTAAGGTAAACGATCTTATCTTACTTCTAATACACCATGCCTGGTTCTTGTATTACAGTAATATTTTTGAATACTTTCAAAGCAGGTTTTTCTTGAATTTCTAATTCTTCTACATCACCTGAAAAAGAAGTGATTATAGGTATATATAATTTTTATAATCTTCCAGAGGCATAACTATTCATTTGTTTATAGAGAGAACTGAAATAAAGCAGCTATACAATGAAAAAATAAATAAAATTGTACTCAATTTTAAACAGCTAAGTTCTATGTAATTGCTTATAGCAACTGAAAGATCTCAACATGTATTATAAAAATTCATATAACTAGGCAGACTTTACCTTGGACATTAAATATTTTATCAGCAGCAAACTCAGAGATGTTCAACATACATGTTCGTAACAAGAGATTAGTACTGTACACTAGCATCTTAACATTTGGTATGAAACTAGTCAACTACTGCCAACTAGTAACTTCTCCCTTCTGTCTTCCTAAGTTCAATAATTCTACAGGAAATTCTATTGTCAAAGATGAGACTTTTCTGGTCTTTCTAGTGTCTTCTTTTTTTTCTTTTAAAGACAGGGTCTTAGGCCAGGGATGGTGGCTCACACCTGTAATCCTAGCATTCTGGGAAACTGAGGTAGACAGATCCTTTGAGCTCAGGCGCTCGAGATCAGCCTGAGCAAGAGCAAGACTCTGTCTCCACTAAAAAAATAGAAAGAAATTAGCAGGACAAAAAAATACAAATATATAAAAAACTGGCCGGGCATGGTAGTGCATTCCTGTAGTCCCAGCTACTCAGAAGGCTGAGGCAGGAGGATTGCTTGAGCCCAGGAATTTGAGGTTAGGGTAACAGAGTGAGATTGTGTCTCAAAAAAAAAAAAAAAAAAAAAAAGAATTTTTTTTTTGAGACAGAGTCTCACTCTACTGCCCTACTAGAATGCTGTGGTGAAGCCTAGCTCAAAGCAACCTCAAACTACTAGGCTCAAGCAATCCTTCTGCCTCAGCCTCCCAAGTGGCTGGACTACAGGCGCACCCCAGGCAACCTGGCTATTTTTCTATTTTTAGTAGAGACGGGTCTCGATATTGCTCAGAGCTGGCTCTAACTCCTGAGCTCAAGTGATCCTCCCGCCTCGGCCTCCAAAGTGTTAGGATTACAGGCGTGAACCACAGCACCCGCTTAATCAATAATAGTTTAGAAATATTTATAA